TTACACTTGACCCTGACCAGCTACAGCTGGCTGTTACAGCAAAGTCTGCAGTGAGAAGGTGAGTTTGTAAAATGAGGAGCAACAGGTTTCCAATAAAATTACCATATTTGGCAAGAATGTCACCATCAGCTCTGGCTGGTATGGCTCAATGGATTGCGCACGGGCTGCGAACCAAAGGGTCACCAGTTTGATTCCCTGTCAGGGCATGTGCCCGAGTCATAGGCCAAGTCCCCAGTGGGGGGTGCGCAAGAGGCAACCACACATTGATGTTTCTCTCCCTCTCCTTCCCCCTCCCTTCCTCTCCCTCTAAAAATAAAATAAATAAAATCTTTAAAAAAAAAGAATGTCATCATCACTTTAGCTTCCAAACCACTGTTGGCCGCACAGCCAGCCTATCTGGTTAGCCCGAAGCTCCCCTCCTTTCCCCCGCCGACAGTGGTGGGGCGCGATGCTAAGGAACAGATGAGGGGACACATGAGAGTAGGTGAAGGCTCCCTCGTCTCTGTGACGGTCCCTAGAGTCCTCCCTTCCTCGGGGCATGTTTCCGATTTCTCTCACGGGACTTTGCTCTTGTAGGACGCCATGAAGAGGCAGTCCCCTGACGAGGGCCTGGGCTGCCGCCCCCCTCACAGAGGTCCCTTGCCTTTGGAAGACCACCCGAGAGCTCAAACGAGGCCAGAGGAGAGGAGCCAGCACCAAGCACGGGGGCCGGCCTCAAGTCTAAGCAGAAGGCATCCTGGCGGCTCTCACAGGGCCCAACCCACTGTGAATGGGGGCCCGACGCAGGGGTTGGCAGCCAGACCTCAGCTGGGCATAAAAAGGCTAAGTCAGTTGCCTGGCATTTTCTTTGTACACATATGTCCCTCGGGAACCCGGGGCTGGACAAGGAGGTATCTGTTTTCTTGGAAAACAGCTGATTGCAAATGGAAATATTCAGGGTATAGGTTATCTCTGTTTCTTTCCATCTCTAACCCACAACTAGCGACCTTTTTACTAATGGAAGATTGGGCTAAGTGTGGACTGATGGATGGATGGTTATATACATACATCAAACATATATATATAGAGAGAGAGAGTGCACAGAAGACATGCACAGCTACAAACATAATAGATATATATTTGGGTGAGGGCATCCAGAAGGAAGACTATGAGTTTTATTATTCTGGGAGTCACGATATTAAAAAGTAATATTTTTCATTTTTCCTTTGTGCTGCTGAAATTAAATAGAGGTTGATAAAGGAGTGGCATGTGAAAAGAATAATTAAGGGTCGAAGGAATCTCATTCATCAATATCCCCTCGCCCATCCTTTCCACAGTTAAATAAATGGGTGCAGCCAGGGTCCCCACTCGTTATGGCATCAGACAATAAACAGAACAGCAGCAGCGATAGCTGAGCAGGCAGGAGTCAGGGTCACACAGAGCTGCCACGTATCTTTTCAAATGGGCAGGATAATTAAATTTCCTGCTGATGAAGAGCTTCCCAATTTGGCTTCTCTGCCTGTGACTAAGGCTGAACTGTATCCATGCATGATTTTGTGTCACAGGATCCCGTCTTTAAACATGAGTCCCTCACGTTACCCATAATCTAGTGTCTCCCTCATTATTATTCTCTACACCTGTTGTTCATGATGCAAAGTTTTCACCCCAGTTGGCCGTATTCTAAAGCAAGTGCAAGCTGAGGAGAAGCAGGTGAAGGCTCTCCACCAATCACTTCTCCCCTCGGGCTCCCTTTCCACTCTAACTTTAACCAATTTCTCTGCTTTGCATTCATTATTTAATGAGCAACAAATATATGGAAAGTCATGTGCTTGCGGCTGATAAGAAATGGAGATGAGTAAGATATGTTTCCTAGGTTTAAGGAGTTTATCAACCATAGAAGAAATGCATGTTTGAATAATTGCATTATAATACCAGAAAAAACACACACAAATTGCTGTGGACACCCTGGCCTGGGTGGCTTGGTTGGTTGGACATCATCCCACAGAAAAAAAGTCACCGGTTCATTCCCAGTCAGAATATGCCCCTGGGTTGCAAGTTCTGTCCCTGGCTGGGGCGCATACAAGAGGCACCTGATAGATATTTCTCTCTTGCATCTCTCCCAAAAGAGGGAGGTGTTTCTCTCCCTCTATTTCTCCCTCCCTTCACTTCTCCCTAAAAATGATTGAGTAAAATATTTTTTAAAAATAAAAATGAAAAGAAATAAATTGCTGTGGAAATAAAGAGCTACTAATTCCAACAAGGTGAGAGGAGGCTTTGGGGGCGGGGGTGCGCAGGGCAGCAGCCTGCGCACCGCACTGTGGAGGAGGACTGGGGTTTTCCTAGGCTGGAACAGTGGGGGGGGTGGCCCAGGTTGAGAGAACAGCTTGAGGAAAGGCGACGAGGTGAGAAATTGCACAGCGGGGTTCTGTTGTGCTAGAAGATCCTAATGAAACCAAGCGAGGCCATCTCACATAGGGCTTCGAATCCCTTGTTAAGGAGACTGAACGTCTAAACCACTCTGTGGGTAAAAAGGACTAAGAAAGAATGTTGTGGAGAATGGCATGATCTGACCTTTGTTTTAGAAAGATAATTCTAGCCGCACCACAAAAGGAAGACTCAAAAGCCAAGGCAGAGATGTGGTATGTTCAAAACGTCCTAAATTGAAGCCACCGTCTTCTTCCTCTGATCTCTTACCCATCTATCCCCTAGCCCAATAAAGGCTCAGCCCGCCTCCAAATTACCCAAGCCACAAACCTTGGGGTCAACTTTGCCCCCTCCTGTTGCTCTCCTCCTTTCTCTTCCTCCGCTTCCGGGGACAGCTAACCCACTGCAGTCCTGTTTATTTTACCTGCACTGTGTTTTGTGAATCCAGATAGATTCATAACATCCTGGTGCAGGTCCTCAGCACCTTTGCCCGGCATCTCGTTGCCCGGCATCTCGCAATAGTTTCCTGTATGAAAGGGACACCCTTGTGTAGAAAAGACTGTGAACAATTCATTCCAGAGAGCAGAAGGAAGTTCACGGTCAGACCTGCAGACACAAAGGTGGTATTTGGAGCCAGCAGAGAGGGTGAAAACACCACAGTAGCAATGGCAACAATGACAATGACGACGACGAAGGCCCCAAAGACAGCACCTTGGGAGATGGACAGTGAAAAGCCATCGGAGAAGCCGTAGACAAGCTCAGCATTGTTAGGAGAAGCCGGGGTTAGAGAGATTTTGACATGAAATTACACAGAGAATGAGTAGGTGAGGTTGGATCTTGAAGCTTTTTACCAGTTTGATGCTCCGAGGTGAGCTTTGAGGGTCCAGTTTCAGTGACAGTTTGGGGGTGGAAACCAAATTGCAACAGATTAAAAGAATGGATTTATGGTGAGGAGCTGGGGACAAGGAGAAAAGTCAGCTCTTGTACTAAGTTTGGCAGTGTGAGAAAAATCGATCATGCCATACTGAAAGATGTCCCATCGTGCCCTGGCTCGTGTGGCTCAGTTGACTGGGCATTGTCCCGCAAACCGAAAGGCTGCCGGTTTAATTCCCAGTCATGGCACGCGCGTAGGTCACAGGTTCAGTCCCGGTGGAGGCACGTACGAGAGGCAGCCTATGGACGTTCCTCTCTCACGTTGATGTTTCTCTCCCGCCCTTCCCCCCTCCCTTCCCCTCTCTCTAAAAATCAATCAATAAATAATCAATAAACAGCTCTTCCCTTCCCTCTCAGGGAAAGCTAACCTTTCCCATTCCTACTTGACATTCCTTCAAAGAAGCAAAAGCTGCCGACTTTGCAGTTTTCCATATTCCTGTCAGTATAACTTGTCCTTTGAAGTGCTTCAGTCTGAATCCACAACGTCCTGCTATTTCTGGCTGCATGGACCAGTTTCTTCAGCCAAAGACATCCACAAGAAACGGGCCGCGTGGATAAGGTTCAGTAGCACTTCTCCCAAGTACAAGAGTCCGGAAAATTGCAAAATAATAATCATTATAATAACAGTCAAGGGACAACGTGCCCCCCACCACCCTGGTGCTGTGGCCAGGATTCCAAAATGAAGATCGCAGTGTGGAAAGACAAAGGATTAGAAGGGAAGACGATACATCTCGTTTAAAATCATGGTGGACATGGCCAGAGAACACGGATTCAACCATCGAGTTCCAGAATATCGGACCCAGGAGTACATCGGGCAGCTAAAAGGGGTTGTCCCTGACGGAGGCTGGTCCCATGCTGCCCAGGCGTCCTGTCCTGACGCACCGCAAACCCGACCTTTGTGCGGGGCAATGGCTCTCCAAGCCTCCAGGGGACACGCCGCTCCAGCTGGGAAAAAAAATCTACGGCTCAACTCTCCTGCCCACGCCTGCGGCCACCTCACCCACAGGGGGAAAAAATGACCCTCATCAGACATCATGGAAAGAAAGGTGCTGGGTTTTACGGGATGGAAATGAAGTAATCTGTTGTTTTTATTAAATAACATGAGAAAGTTATTAATTCCTGCCAGAAACACAAACGTAAATATTATCACATTGGATGCATTTATCCTGAAGGAGACCATCTGGCCGAGCCTTGCGGAGCGCTCTTGGGGAAGCAGGGTGCGTGTGCGCCCACGCAGGGCCCCTCGGCGAAGCCGCAGGTCCCCACGAGGTGGAGATTTAGGGGTTCTGCGGGGAATGCTTCCCGGTAACGGCATCTGCTAGACACTCGTCACATGTTCCTCCAGCAGCGGCCCTGCCTTTACGAATGCTGTTCTATGAAAACGGAAAATTTCAGAACAAGGGGTGGATGTTATTTCAGAATCTCTGCCTTTAAAACTGGACTCTCTCCTTGGGCACCACCTCCCGGAAGGGTAGGTACGGACAAACGTGCAGAGCACTGGCTGTTTGGCACGGGGACTGCAGGCAAGACGAAGGGGAATGTACACAATGTAAAGACTCAGGAGCCATGGTCAATTCTGGATGACCCTAAAATTGAAAATACAGCATCTTGAAATTATAAAGTAAATGCATGGTTCTTTTTATTTTTAATATAAAAGGCAGTTTTAAAAACCCTACACTGTTGTATTTTGTGCAGAAAGGCAGGGCATCAGGTCGGGGGCGCAGCACCCTCTCTGCAGGTGGATAGGGCCCCAGGTACCCACAAAGTGGAGGCGATCACACCTTCTAGAGAAGAGCAAACGCTGATACAACTTGAAGAAATGCCCGACTTCCTTGGGGACCCAGGAGAACCCCGTCCACCCGTCTGCCCTACGTGTTCAGAGGACTCCGGTACTTAACTTCGTATCTCCTGCCTCCATCTGCTCAGAGATGCAACTGTGGGCTGCGTATCAGTTCTGTGTTTGAGCCTTTCCCAAATCTCTCTCCCCTACGGCACACGTCAGCTCCAGTGGGTGCACGTGGAGAATCTAGCCAACAAATTCTTCAGTCCACATAATGGGAGGGCAGCAGGGCTTGATCCGGACGGGCTTTCAGGCACTTGAGAGTTCGTTTCCTTCTTGGTCTCATCCAAGACTGCCACGTACCCGCCTGCCGAAGTGTGGTCACTACCCAAGGAGTCATCTGAAAAGGGCCACGTTACACAGCAAAACGGCATTAACACGTGCACAGCTTGCTCAGGCACGTCTCGAGTGCCAGGGAGAGGAGCCGCGGCTGTCAGCTGGGAGCTCGGTGTCTGTCAGGGGGGTGGGGCTGCAGCTTCTCATGCCCTAAATACCATTTAGTTAGGAGAGTAATTCAGATTGCACACGCTGCATATGTTTACTCTCTCTTCGTATCACATACTATACTGTATATGTATGTTTTTAATTTTTACTTATTTTTTAAAGCGAGAGAACCATCTATTTGTTATTCCACCTATTGATGCATTCATTGGTTGCTTCCGTATGTGGCCTGACCGGGGATCAAACCTGCAACCTTGGCGTATGGGGACAATGCTCCAATCCACTGACCTACCTGGCCAGGGCTGGTAATGTGTGTATTAGCAGTGGAAGAAACAGCCAGGACTGACCCACTCCAAGTCTCCTAGGAGAATCGAGACCCTCCATGATTACTCCTACATTCCTGACTTTTGAAAGTTTCGTAACAATTTTTTGTACTTGAGAAACTACACGCACATGGTAAAATAAAAATAGATTCAGTGATTATGTTTCAACGCAAATCACTTCACTTTGTTTGCGTCTTCTGCCTCTAGTTGCTCAAGATGCCATTGTAGCTCGAGCTCTCCCAGACCCCTCTCTGAGCCACACATCAACTCCAGTGGGTGGGCCCAGGGAGGCCAAGGAACGTGTTCCGAGGTCAAGAGTGGCAAGCCTCTGGGAGGCTGGCAGGGCTTTGCACACCGCACCTGAAGCTGACAGTCCGACCCGCTACGAGTTCTGGTCACTGCACTGTCTTCTCCATCCAAATCTACCCTCTACTCATGACAGCTTACTTGGTGACAAAGTACAGGAATGAGTGAACAAACTGTGTGTCTATTCTTCTCATAAGCTATTAGCCGTTAAAAAAGAGCATTTCAGCAGACAGATGAAAGATGAGTAAGAGAGAGAGAAGGAGAGGTGTTGAGAAATGGCAGGATTTTAGAGCATCTAATTCAACTTCCTCGTTGTATAAAAGGAGAAACCAAGGTCTGGAGAGGGTGGGGAAAGGTAAGAGCAGAGAGAGGGACAGTGTGAAAGAAAGATAATTGCTTAATAGCTTAAAATAATAATAATTGTTTCTATAACTCATGTTAACCCCAGGCAGTGTTGGGTTGGCCTCAGCATCAAATCACAGGAGAAAAAGTCCCACAGAAGAAATGTAATTAACAGCAATTCAAGTCTTAGCTTCTCCATAAAACACCAGAGAGTGCATTCTTGATACACACCCAAAGACCTTGAAAATCTTCTGAGGGCATTTTCCTTACGTTACTAGCAATGAATTCCTCCAACCCAGGGTCCCCAGCCCCCTTCCCCCTGGGCTGGGACGCTGCTCCATCCCCGCCTGAGCTCCACCTCTGTCCCACCCCACCCCGGTCCGTGGGAAAACTGTCTTCCACAAAGGGAAGTCCCTGGTGTCACAAAGGTTGGGGACCACTGACTGTTTGCAACCGTAGTCTTCTCTGTCTCTCGAGAGCCCCTTAAAATTCTCCCCAACACTCAGGCCACACCCCCCTTTCTCTTCTCCTTCACACTTTCCTATATGGACCGATGTAACCTTTCTGATTTTTCTACCTTGCCACCCCACATCCCGGAACCGAGGGCAGACCTGAGCCCACGGAGTGAAAGACCCTATCAGCGCTGAGGAGGAAAGAACTTCCAAAGTGAACTCCCCCATGGAGACAGCATAACAAAACTCCCGAGCATCCAGGTGAGAGAGAGGGCCCTAAAAGGGACAATGGGACGCAGATTACCTGCAGAGATTCCCATCAGCCACAGCGCTTGCAAGAAAAGCATGGGACAATAGCTTAGAAATGCTGGGGAAAAATAAATTCAAACTCACAGTGCTATGACAAGCCAAACTAACCCTTAAGAGAGAGATCTAAGTACACTCTCAGACACAGAAGCCCTCAGAAAACTCCGTGATCCACAGACACCCTCTGGAGGAGACGGGAGGGAGAACAAAAGAAAACCTACCTGAGGACATACTCCAGCAAGAAGGAAAACGAATCCAAATATAATAAGAAGGCGGAGGAGAATGTATTTGTGTTTTACTTTTATACCTAAAAAGCAATTTTTGAAAAGGTTAGAGAGCAAGGAAGGTAGGACACACTTGAATTCTTTACTTTTATTTCCATTTCATTTTACCTTTCTGTAATGTCAATACAGTTTATGAAATGCTTTCAGATAAATTGTCAGTGGCCAAAATGACAGGACCTGCAAAAAATTGTATGTATGTATATATACATAGTATATATAAAGTGTGTGTGTGTGTGTGTGTGTGTGTGTGTGTGTGTGTGTGTTGAGAGGGACCATATTCGAGGGACCGTATTCGGGGCCAGTGACCATCCCAGTCAAACTTGGAAGTGCCTGCCCTGAGTGCGGAAGGCAGGCCTGGCCTGGAAGCCGGCTGCCTGGGACCAACCCGTCTTCATGAATGACAATGACAGTGGGTCTGGGTGGTGAACTTCCAAGTTAGCAGACTGATTGTGTCTCAGCCTCCCAAAACAATCAGTTTTAAAACAACCAGGTGTTTTTGTTTTTGTTGTTTTTCAGCAGACTCTGCTTCCCAACTTGGGTTAGACTGTGCACTGGTCGAGAAGCAGATGAATGGAGGTAAGAGGCACACACCTTCAGACCAGCTGGCCCGCTGGAAAGGGACTCCCTGGGGGTCCGGGCCATGCGGTTGGTGGCCTGGAGGCCCTGCCGCCCTGTGCCGGCCTGCTACTGAGAGCTCCTCGGCTCCACGAAGCCTTCTGTGGAGAGGTTCACGGTGCTATTGCCCATGTCATTTGCTACGAATTTAGGGCTTGGAATCTCTCACTTGAACTTTTTGACACCATCCCGGTGTGTGTCAAAAAAAGAGCAGCTGCCAAAAAGCAAACATTTTCCTGTCTCTAAAAATAAAGTGCTGGCAACCCTGCAGGCCCCTGTGCCAAGGCCTGGCCCTTCCCAGGACGAACAATAGGTGGCCCAGCTGAGCCGGGGGCACCGAGCCCTGCTGGAGGCCGAGGTCCAGCCCGGGGAGCCCGCCAGGGCATGTGCGCAGCCGCAGTGCTGGAGGCCAGACAGGGCCCCCCTTCCCCCAGCCAGGGCCAGGTGTGGCTGAGAGGGGAGAGCCTCGGGTTACACCAGAAACCGTGGCCCAGCGGAGGGAACAGACCTCCCACCAGCCTCTGCCCCCAGAGCCCCGGGGTGCATGGCAACAGACCTGAGACCCTGTCCTGAGAAAACTCCCGGGGGAAGGAAAGCTCCATAAATTTCCATCCGCATGCGTCACTCAGGGCTGTGCCCGTCCCCTGTCAGAACCCCTCGTGCCCAGCGGAGGGCCCTCACCTGCTACACGCAGCCCGACGAAACCATCTTAGTGTCCAAACGCCATGATAACAGTCACCATTCCCAGTCCAATCACCTCCAAACTCCTCCGCCACTCCCGCAGCACTTGTTCAGCCCCCGCTCCTCGTCATTAGGGCTCGAATCTCCCCTAGACCGTGAGCTTGGCTTTTTGCTGGTTTGGGAGTTAAAAGGGCTAAAGGGGGGTAGGGAAGAGGAGGGACTAAATATAGCAACTGTTTGTAGGCACAATCACTCCATAAACATGCTTCAGTGGAACGAGCGTAGGGCCACCCCAGATGACGGATGTCACTCACCCGAGTGGCACATCATAAATACGACTGAATGAGCCCATTCTCCTGCAGAAGCAGAGTGACGCCTGTTTGCACTATAAATATTTATGAAGTCATGGTCCTCACAAGGCTTTGTTTTTCCAGGTAAGTAGACTTTAATGAAAAAGTTCAGCAGAGCTCTCCCTGCAATTACGGAACAGACACTGTGGCTTTTCAATGGGTAGTCGGTGGAAAGGAAAAGAAAAAAGGAAAGAAGAGAAATAAGGCCCTGTTCCACGAGGCTGCTGCGTGGAGATCTCATTTACCCCAGTCAAGGTTCATTCTCTTTCAGAAAGTGACAGCCCTCGCTAGGGTGGCAGGGACAGCAGTCCCATGCAGCTCAGGCCTGGGTAATGAGGAGCACACAAATGGGTCCTTGTCACCCAAGTGCAGGCCCCTCCCCCCACCTCTGCTGGGAGAGACTTGCTCCATAGTGCTCCCAGCCCTCTAAGCCTGTCTCTTGGTAACAGGAAAAATGTACCCCTCACCCCGTCACTAGGCTCATTTGAAAAGAATTCTCCGAATGTGAGGATGTGGGCCTGGGCGTCTCTCCGGGTGTCTGAAGTCTACCAGTCCTGTGATTAGTTACCTCTCCTGACTGCATCAGCGGCAGCACCCAGAAACTCGCCCGAGGTGGACCGCTTCTCCTGCACTGTTCGCCAGGCACCCCTGCAAAGAGCACACACCTGGGGCGCCTCCGCCGCACTGCCACACCCCTCTCCTGCACGGCACCGTGACGGTCCTGCCACGGGACCTGGAGCCCGCGGTGCACGCTGATTTTCATGTCCGTCTGCAGCTTCCATGTTACTCATCTCTTAAATGCACCAAAAACCCTTGCCTGAGTCCATCAAGCCTGTTTCCTTCCCAGGGATGGCCTTCTGCCCGGGCTCCCACCCCCTCCAAACCTCAGGGTGGCCCCTGCTATGTCAGGTTGAACTGGCCCCGCCGAGAAACGCTGAAGATCCTTTGGCTCTGGCCTCTGGGAAGTCTTGTTTCACAAGGAACAGAGTCTCTGGTTTTGCGAAATGAGTCACAGGCTGCCCCGACGAAGCTATCTGGGGAGGCTAGGCTACCATGTATGGTCTGTGCTCTGTGCCACCCACCTCCCCGCGCCGGTCGGCGCTCTTTGCCAGGACAGCCTGAGTCAGAAAACTCAGCACATTCCTCGGGCGCTGGAGAGTCTTTCCTTGTTATTACTCTGCTTTTGTTTTATGCAGCACCTGGTTTCATTTTAAAAACCCAAATAAAATCTCATGGTCAGGGCTAGAGTGAAATGGGGGGTGGGGGGAGTGGGGGGGAGGGAAGAAAAAGAGAAAAGGGAGCGAAGCCTGGGTGAGGGGAAAGAAGAAAGGGCTGTTGAACTCCCCACACAGGCAAGACCCACAGCCAGACAGGGAGGGAGCCACAGCGAAAGGGGCCCAGCCGAGCGGATATGCTACCCCAGAACCCAGCGCGGTCCAAGTCCTTTGCGCTGCACGTGATGAAACGCTTACGTCTCAGTCTCCTCCCCAAATTAGGCCGCAGTTCGGAGTTAGTGCTTCACTCGTAGGCCACGTGATCTTCCCAAAGCCCCACACTCTCGGAGTCTCTTCCATAAGCAGACTGGCTTCTTTTCAGTGCATTTTAAAGAACTTTCCAGTGACAAACCTGTATGATTCTAGGAACCTGCCTGTTCCCTTTTTTCTTGGCCCACGAGTCCCAACCCAAGCGTTAAAGGACTGTTTTTCCACAAGCCAACATTGGTGGTTTGCCTTGGGGAAGGCGGTGTCAGGGAATGGGCACAGCAAGGCGGAGGTGCAGACGCGGCCGCAATGCCTTTCTGTGGCCAGGTTATTTTGTACAATCATCTGCAACGCTGCTAACATAGATTTTTAGAATTAAAATAGAATTCTAATTCTGTTTTCTGCCTTGCATTCAGTTTAAAAAAAAAAAAACCCGAATGAATAATAACCATGGACACGGAGAACTGACTTTCTTGGAGTGGCAAAGCACATTCATTACAGTGTAAGACCAGGACCATCAGGGACTAGACTCAGCTGGAACAGAGGCCCGGGACTCTCTAACCGCGGCTGGCCCAGGGAACAAATCCCGGAGGTTCCCGAGGGGCTCTGGGGCTGCATTTTCAACGCACAGTTTGGCGAGCTTAATGGAAACCATACGAAGGGACCCCGGGAATGAGACCAGATGGCTGGTCGGGAATGTGTTTTGCCTAACCTGGGCTCAAGAATGAGAGTCAGACACTAGCTGTGTCCCCCTCCCCCCTCCACCCCGGCTTTGGGGGCTGGGTAGGGGTGGGGGTGATGGTGCGGCTTTGAATTACCTTTTCAATTCAACAAAGATGGTAAAGAGGGGGACAGTCTTGGTAAAGGGGAGCAAGTGGCGCCCTGGAGCCGGAGACAGCGGGCGGGCGGGGCTGAGGAGGAAGAAGGGACAGGAGGCAGCTACTTTCGTGATCACACGTGGGTCTGCCTCCCCTCCTGGGAAGCAGCTGCCGGGGCCCTGTGCTTCCCTGGATGGTGGCGGTGGCGGGGTCCTTCCCTTCCGTGCGCGCAGGGTCCCCGAGCCTTGGCCCTAGCTCTGCGCACGCTGCGCAAACGAGGGGGCGGATCGTGGGGGGCGGGCACCGGGAGACGGGGCTTTGTGCGAGGAGGAGGAGGAGGAGGAGGAGGAGGGAGAGGAGACCGGTCTTGGACTGGGGTGGGGAGGATCCTAGGGGGAGGAGGTGGAAGAGGAAGACCCGGGCACGGGGCGGAGCCGTGGGTGGGGCCGGCTTCAGGGACGCGTGGAGGGGGCAACCTCCAGAGAGAGCCGGGGCGTGAAAGGCCTTGACTCACTCTCCGGGACCCCAAGCTCTTGCTTCCGCTGGGATTCGCTCGCCCCAGCCCGCCCTTCCGGCCAGTTTGCTTCTCGGCGGTGGCGCCTCTCTCCTCCCTCCGAGGACAACCTGGCCGCAGAAGGCTGCGGAGCTTCGGAGCCCCTGCCCTGGATACAAGTGCGCCTTCCTCACGGCCCTGAGCCCCTCCTGGGCTCCCAGATCGAAGGACGGGTTTTTGACGCTGGAGCCCGCAGCTGTCGGAGCCCCAGCACCGTTTCCGTGGTTCTTGCAGAAACGTGGAGTGCCAAGTATTTATTTTAAAGGAAAATTTAATAATGATGGCAACGATAACTTTTGTCCCTTCTTCCAATTAAGAGGGGAGAAAAAATGAGGGACGAAGGCATTTGAAGCCCAGGGAAGGGTCCAAGAAAGCCACCAGCCAGGTGCACGTGCTCCAAGGCCCTGTCCTACGGCCAAGTGGCTGATGAGGCAGACCGCGGACCTGCAGCTTCGTGGCTTTGTTTCCCACTCAGCTGAGTGACTAGAACGGTCCTCCCAGACTGTAAACGTAGTATTGATCCGCATCTGAGTCTTCAGACGAGCCGCCCTTGCTTGCAGAATTACAGGGCACCGGAGGCTGGAAGAAAATGACCTGGTTGTCAGCCCTTGGCCAAACGGCAAAGGTTGCTTTCTGCGCGGAATCGGGAATGCTACGGCCAGACCTCATTCATGAGCGGGAGTGGGGCTTGTTCCTGTTTTTTCTGGCAGCACCTTCTACCTTCCTAGTTCATCTGTCCTGCCTCTGCCCCCAAGGCCAGATCCACGAGAGGAAAAGAGGAGAGAAAACGAGGCAAGAAGTCCTGGAATCACTAACCAAACTGCCCACGGTTCCTCTACTGTCCTTTACCCATCATCCTTCAGTACCAAGAATCTCCCCACCGCCCACCCCTCCTGATCCTTTAGTCTGCACCCTGCTGGGTGTAATGACTTCTCTGCTTTCACTCTCACTCACATCCTGAACTTCTTGAAGACCGGGCCAGACACACATATGGAGAAGCTGGCTGCTGGAGGCATTAGACACCAAGCAAATACTTGTTAAAGTGAGAATATTCTTAATGATGGTTGAAAGTTCCATTCAATCCCTGCTTGTTGGGGATGCAAAATTTGTACATTTTACATCTCAGTGCCTGTTTTCCTCCCCCAAAACATGGTGTCTATTAAAAAAAATAAGATTTTGCATAATCTAGTAAACAGAAAGTCGTGATTTATATTTTGGTCAGAACTGTAGGCCCAGTGTTCCCCAAACAAGTGCCTCAGATGAATATTGGGGCATTTGTGATGCGCAGGAGTGTGCTTTTAGTTTGCTGGTGCAACGCCACCAATTTGTCAGGAACTGTTGACTTAAAAGGCACTACTGTGGCATAGAGGATTCACTTTAGGGGAGGGGGGTCAGGGAAGCACCTCCAAGAGAAAGGCAACTGTTCCCCAGAACAGCTGCGGGCTCTGGCAAGGGAATAGCTTGGCCCCAGTACAACTCCACACAGCAAGACGGATTTACTTAATTTAACAAGAGTTAATGATTCTCCCAAGCAGCTCCCGGGAGGCCAGCTCACAGTAAACATACTTTCAGGAAATCGCCTTCCCTTCCTAGAAGCATATACCGACCCTGCAGTGAAGGGTGGTCCCTGGCTACCCGCACACTGGAATTTTCCGTGGCCGGCCCAGCTTCAAATGCCCCCAAGTGACTCCCTCCACAGGCTGCCAACTCACTGCCTTCCCCGGCTTGAAATGCCGCATAGGAAACTTACCAGGCCCTACAGCAGAAAAGTCAAGAAAAGTGCACCATTTCTGGAAGGCCAGTATTAGCTAGACCTGGGAACCAAGTGGGCTGTCCACCCCCTGTCCCATTAACTCAGTGTGTCAGATCAGCAGTCAGTGTCCATGGATTCGCATTGGCCACCGTGATAGCTCTACGTAACTGGTGGTTCTTGTGATAATGCTAGGTGGTCCTTGAGTAACATTTTTTATTTTAATGGCCAGGTTTTCTTTTTTCTGATACACGTAACCAGCATACGAAACCCACGGTATTGCAAATGCAGGGTTGAGCGAAAGTAGGTTTACAGTGGTGAGTGTGTGAAACACAGAGTTGTTTTCTTGTATTTATTCATGATTGTATTATTTTCCACACGAACAACTGTAAACCTGGTTTTGACCCGCCCTGGGTTGAATTGCTTAGGATAAGGCTGAGCTACTGTTGTGTTAAGTCAATGTAGAGAAATCTTAATAAACGAAGGCTGCAGGACGGCCAAAAGGAGCTGCAACACTGGCACTGAATCAGGGGAAGTGAGGAGGGCACTCGGGGAAACCAGTTGCTATTCTTTCAGTGGGTTCTGTAGGAGTTGCTGCCAGAACTCCGAGGCATAAAAAGAATCTTATTTTAACAGGCGGTTAAAAAATCGCTGGGTTTTGAAGAAGTCCTATCAGGCAAGACAGAGCCATGCAAGGCCACGTCGGGGGCGGCAGGGACAGGAGATGTAGGGGGCCAGCGTGGTTCTCCAGACGGGTAGATGGTCTGAGAACTTAATGCCTTTTTCCCACGAGGCAGGATCCAGCAAACACACATATCGCTGGTGAAAACTGGGACAGTGCAAGAGAAAAACCCAACCCCCTCTTCGGCTTGTTTCCGAAACAGCTGGGGAGCTCTGGACAAGATGTGCTCCCAGTGCTTGAAGGAAGACCGCTTCTCAGAACGGGCTGCAGGCCTGTGGATCACTGGACTGTAAATTAGGGGATCACCCACACCCAAACTCCAAATGCACACACGCCAGCACCCTCTCTGCCATGCTGATGGGCACACCATCGACACCCCCCTGGGGATCCACTGCTGGTGACAAGTACAAAGATTCTTACACGCCTCAGGATAACTGTCCTCTGCTGACCGTACTTCATCAGGTTCTCAAAGGCTGGCCTCTTCGTTCTCACATCTAGCGTGAAAAGACAGCCAGCCAGTGTGTAAGCGCTTGTGGTGAGCAGAATGGACAATAGTGTGAACAAAGGACAGGTACCCACTCCCCTAACCCATTTGCAATCAGGAGTTCCGAACCCTCACGGTCATAGCCCCCGCCTCAGCCACCACCACCACCGTCTCAAACGTTGGCTCTTTTTCAGAGCTGCCGCTGGCAGACACCTCTGTGGGACTTGTCCCCACTGTGAGCTCTGCATGCTACCACCCCTACTGTTGGGACAGGGACAATGAAGTCCCAAGGTGGTGACAGGAGGAAGAAGGCAGAGATGCAAAAGACCTCGATTGGCTCCCAACTGGGAAAGGGATGAAAATGGCAGGTGAAGATCATAGTCAAAGGCAGGAAGGACACGGACATAAAGTGACACTTCGGGGTAGGACTTACAGGACTTCCCATGACTTGGAGGCACTGGAGAAAAATCACCCCACAGAACTTGGTGTGCCTGTGAAGAAGAAAAATAAAAAGAAATAGCAACCACTTTCACAATAGAAATTCAACCACATTCCCTTGCCAGCATTGTTCTCCCCACTCGAAAGGCACTTGAGATGCTGCCGCCAAAAGCCACTGTCGTAACTGATACTAACGGTGAGATGGAAAGACAAAACTGGAGATGTAATTTATAAATAGGATAGGCAAAAAGGTACTATCCTAGTATGCAAGCAGCTTATCCGCATCAATAAGAAAAGCTAAACGCCCTAATAGGAAAGCAGGCAAGGGAAACGCATCCCACCAATGCGTATTATTCATGGATTCCCTACTTGTGAACCCCGAGTCAATATTCCCGGCACGTCCGAGGTCTTTGAAGGGCACGCACGGGGTGGTGAACAATCAGTCACCTGACATTCACCTTCTCAGTCAAGGTCGGACAAGGGGACACTTTCCCTTCTTGTTTCAACGCTCATACTGTAAACAAGTGTCCTTTCCACGACCTATTTAGTGTCCCACTTTCTGCATTTTTCTGCTCTCCGGTAGGGACTTCACTGTTTAAAGTGCACCCCCGCCCCCACCCGTGGGTGGCTGAGCGCTGGCTCCTGTTCTTCAGTGCTAGAAGACTGTGCTGAGTCTGACCGAGAAAATATGCATTAGATCACCTTCGCTCAGTCGTGAATCAGTAATACATGTTAAATAAGGTGTCTTTAAGCAGACACACGCAGTATACAAATTCACGTATGGATCAGTCAATGAAAACGCTGCAAACAGAGGCTCCTGGGAGCTGGACCCTCACTTCCCCTAGCGCGGCTAGGTAAGCTCTGCCAGTAAGTGGTCGCCGAGAGACGTGGGACTCACCACTCTGTGCCTGACGTCCAGCGACTTGCTACAGGGACTGGTTAGATGGGGGAGCAGCCCTGCGTGCAAACGAAGAGGAAAAAGCGGGCTTGAGACAGTGTTAGAGTGCAATCCCTTCCACTCCCGGTTAGGCTGCATCGGCACATGGCGCTCACGCCGCTGACTTCCCGTGAGAATCTGACCGACGGAAAAGTAGGAGTCGGTCAGGTGAGATGACACTGTGACCGAGCGAGCATTCCTTCAGAGGGAACGTTCTGGAGCTATTTTTGCAGGGGGTAGGGGTAAAACATTTTTTGTATGGTACACATTTCAATTTTATTTTAAAATAGAGAAGGGTACTGAGAAGAGCTAAGGAGACACTGAAATTGTGAGACTGTAATAAAAAAAAAGTTATCAGAACGATTCCCTTTTCCATGCCCTTTGTTCTTCTCTCTGAGGTTTTCCTGGAGTAAGCCTCTGACTGGGTCTCAGGCTCCAGTGAGAGGCTGAGCCTCCGGGCTGGGAATGCCACTAGTTTCTAAGGTTTTTTTTCTCCCCCCTTAGGTGGATCAGGGCAGCCAGAGTGGGCTGGAGGTGGGCATTTCCTTTTCCCATGGGGAAGGCTGGGGTGGGCGGAGCTGGAGGTGACCCTTCTCTGGGTCAGTTACGCTGTGATAACACCCCCCCCCCCCCGCCCCGACAGGTGAGGTTCTGGTTGACAGGTTTCTCCTGAGGGCTGACCTTGTGAAGAACACCGTGTCTGGGATATTTCAAAACAGTTCCTTTCCCCTCCTTCTTCCTGAAACACAAAGGGGATTTTTCTCTCATATTTACTCTGGAATCCCAGTTGAGTTCCTGGAGGTAAATCTTACAATATCGTCGGGCCTCCCCCTAGGCCTGGGTCCCCTGGCGTTTTTAGCTCCCAGGCTTGTGCACGGCGAGCCCCCAGCGGGCTGTCAGTCCCAGTGCAGAGAGCCCCACGCTGGTGCTGGTGCTGGCAGCTGTGGCGGTGCTGCCGCCGAGGCTCGGCTCTGTGGGGCTGTGATTCCCTGTGTTCCCATGCCTGGCTCTCCAATTTTGGGGACAGTGGTTGGCCCTGGACCCACACCTCTCTGGAGGACCCAAGACGTGCTGTTGATTTTCTAGTCTGTTCAGCTTTGTGCCTGTCGTTAGGATGCAGTGGTGGTGACTCTCAAGATCCTCACATGCAGGACCAGAAGCTGGGGCTAAGAGCTTTCTGCCCGGAACATTCGTCCATGACGCACAGCTTATACTCGTGTCAGAATCAGAGGGAGCCAAGACCGTGCCGATTTTTTCCTCAAGGTCTGAAGCAGCTCTGGTGTACTTTTTAACAATTTCATTGAAGTAGGTAACATTTTAAGCGTACAGTTCAATGGTTTCGGGTAAATTGATCAAGTCACACGACCATCACTGTAAGACCATAAACTAGTACACGGGCGTGTTCATTAGCCCAGTGAGATCCCTCGGCCCACTCACAGCTCCTCTCCTTTACTCTCCCCAGCCCCAGAAAATGTAGACTAGCCCACTTTCTTCCTCTGCAGACCTGCCTCTACTGGATGTTTCAGATAAACGAAATCATACATTAGGTGGCCCCTCTTGTCTGGCCTTCTTTCATTTACCATGTTTTGGAGGCCCATCCACAATGCAGCTCTTTCAGTCATTTGTTCATTTTCATTGATGAGTGGTATCCTACTATACGGGTGGACTGTGTTTTGTTATCCGCTCACCAGCTGATGGACAGAGGGGTTATTTCTGCTTCCGGCCACTATGGATAATGCCGCAGTGAACATCAGGATAAGCCTTTGCATAGACACATGTGTTCGTTTTTCTTGGACAAATACCTAGGTGTGGAATTGTGGGATCCTGTAGCACATGTAGGCCTCACTTTTAAAGAGAATGTCAACGTGTTTCCCGGAATGGCTGTCCTATTTCGCAGCCCCACCACCAGTGAATGAAGGCCCCAGTCTCTCCGTGTCCCCACCAGCATCTGCTGCTGCCGTCGTGATAACAGCCCCTCTTACGGATGTGAAGTGGTATCTCCCTGGGATTTTAGTTCGCGTTGCCCCAGAGACTGATCACACTGAGTTCTCTCAAGATTGTAATTTGATTAAAGTGAATAAAAACTGATCAAAGAAAAAGGGGTTCTTCTTGGCATAATATGATGGGGTCTGGTCATTAGGGATGAGTCACAGGAAAGGAATAGCATTTGTTGAATACTCACGCTTTTTAAAACAAGGCATAGCTTAAGCTTAATTCAAATAAAGAGTTCAGCCCTGGCTGGCGTAGCTCAGTGGATTGAGCGCGGGCTGGAAACCAAAGTGTCTCAGGTTTGATTCCCAGTCAGGGTACATGCCTGGGTAGGCCATGATCCCCAGCAACCGCACATTGATGTTTCTCTCTCTATCTCCTTCCCTTCCCTCTCTAAAAATAAGTAAATAAAATCTTTGAAAAAATACTGTCTGCTTTTCCATAAAAATAAAAATTAAAAAAAGAGTTCAACAATTATTGAGTTAAATTCAGAAAGACCCACTTTGTCATACCTATAGTAAAAGCAGGTGAGTAAGTTTATCTCACACAATTAGCTCTGATTACTCTGTTGGCCATGAATGCTGAGCCTTTACAGCTCTACTAGGCCTTTATAAACCCCATGGGCCTGCCAGAGGCTTTAACTAGTTATTTGTCACCCTCCCATTCAAGAATTATATGATAGTCATTAATTAACACATGAAATGCTACTATAATATTAAAGTTTTGCAGAAACTCATCTTGAGGCATTCGGTCGACTACGGAGGGGAAAGAGGCATTAGAATTTTTTTACAAGGGATTTACACACTCACATCCATCTTCTGGCCACACTCGGTCATTTTTCTAACTGAGCTGGAAATGCCTCTCGTTTTGTTTAGTCTGTTCCTGGGGAGGAAGGAACACCAGCAAGATCACACATGCTGAAGTGTGGTGAGCTAATGATGTGTTTCCTTGCAAGTTCACGGTTGACAAAACAGAGCCCACAGTGCAACTTGACCTGAGCGGTTTCAGCTGACCTTTTAATTAAAGACATTTAATGTTATCCTCGTTTGGGTATCCACCTCCCTGCTTCCACTTCCTAGTCCTAAAGCTGTAAATGAACTGGGTGATTTTGAAAACAACAGTGTCAGCAGCTGCCAATGCAGTCCACCTTCAGGCGGTAGGCCCTTACACGTTATGCCCACCTGGTGGAATGGATGCCACAGGTATTTGGTTTTTAAATGATCAAGAAAGCATGTGTGGGGTGGTGAGCTTCGACCCTTCCGGAATCAGAGAAGCTCAAGTTTGGAAGTATTCTTCCGGGTCTTCTGATCCTTTAGTCCACCTCCTGGGTGTCTGTCACAGTGTACCTCTCGCTGCATTTGAGATTCAGTTCCCTTTTCATAGACTGGGGAGAATGGGGTCTCCTACCTGCCCATATCTGAGCTCCTGGAACACAACACGTAAGGTTGGAAAACAAAGACAAACCATTCGTAACCTTTGTGAGGACCGTGGTCTTCCACTGTGTGCACACAGAAGAGGAGGGTTCAGATCAGAGCTTCACTGCCCTTGCCCTGGCGCCCGTGGGCAGCAGAAGGACCCCAGAGGCGTGCACCACTGGCTCACACAAGTGTCTCCAGGGATGTTTTCTGAAGATAAGGGCCTGGGGCTTTCACCGCGTTTTTTAAAACCGCCTCAAAAATAGGAGGTGTCTTAGAGAGCAGCTAACCCCTGGGACAGAGGATAGAGAACCCTTTCCCGACATATTTTTAGGAACCAGGCATTTAATGATCTGTATAATAGGTTTTTAAAAAGCAATTCTATCTATATTGAGTTTCTTAAGTGTGGTAATGGCATTATTGTTCTGTAAGAGAACATTCATACTCCTAAGAGGCACACGCCGAAGTAGTTAAGGACGTGCTGTTATGATGTCTGCAATTCACTCTCAGTAGTTCAGCCAAGAACTCCACACCAGCATCAACAGAGAGAGACTAAGGTAAAACTGTGCATTAACATATGTGGCAAAATGCTTGCGAACCAAGAATCCAGGTGAGAGTGGGTGAGTACTGATTGTCCTATTCCTTCATCTTCTCTACGGATTAAAACCTTTCTTTAAGTTGTGAATGAAAGAATGGGGCATCCGTTCATCTGCCTTAACCTCACAATCATAGGTTGAGGAGGAGCGCTCTGACTGTGTTTTATAGATGGCCAACGCGCAGCCGAAAAAAAGATGAGGAAAACCAGCCTCGGCGTGGCAGTCAGATCCGCGCCAAGGGCAGGCCTGGGAACAGCGCGTCGTCCCCGTTTTCATGGCCTCCCCGGCTCACCCCAGCGCCCCCTGCAGGCAGCCGCGTGGTGTGTTCATACAAGCCCGCGGTAGTCACCGTCGTGCCCGCCACAGTGCTACCTGGGAAGTTCGCGGGCAGAAGCCAAGGCAGCCACCTCCTAGTGGTTGTTACGCTTGGACAGTCAAGTGCACACGGAAACAGATGGCATCTTGTGACCTTCTTAATCACAGGCTTGGCTGCCAGGGTTCCCTTGTGTCCCATCTCTGCAGGGAATTTGGAAACTGTTGCCTTAGACTGGAATATTTTCTGGCAAAGACATTTAACCATTTATTAGACTGTTTCCTAATGCGAAACAGAGACTACAAAACCGAGTTCCCAGCACCTGAAAGGGACGTTGGTACTCCTGACTCGGAGGCAGGCCTCTCTGGAATTCTCCAGAGTGTGCGGGCAGTCACCCAGCGTGTCTGTCATTATTCATGGGGTGGGGACCTCAGCCCTGGCTAACTGCTTATGACACTTTCTGCATTTACTGGTAGCCAGTGTGGGCTTTTTTCCCCCCTGCAGTTTAAAAGAGATGTGTGCACTTCCCACAGCGAGGCATACAAATTAGCCCGAAAACACACCAAAGCCGGCATTTGCAGGCCCCTCTGATGTGACAGCCCACACTGGGAGTGAGCGTGGGAACCCTGCAGTGAGTGCAGCCTGTTCTAAGTCACCTTGTTCCCGTGGCCGTCAAATTCCACAGTGACAGTTGGAGGGAGGAGGGGGAAGGAGGAGGAGGAAGGAGGAGGGGAGAGAGGGGGAGGGAGAAGGGGGAGGGAGTGAGAGGTGGAGAAAGATGAAGTTTACAACTCAGTAGAGCCAGGAAAATCGTATTCTGGCAAAGAGAGTGTACATGCAAAGGTCCTGCGGCAGGAAATGGCTTACCGCTCTCAAGTTATTAAAGGAAACTACTGTAATTGGAGCAGGGCAAGCAAAACTGAGCAAAGGCACTCCATGGGGCTGGAAAGAGGCAAGGTCACATTCATGAAAGAGTTAAAAGGCCTTGGTGAGGAATTAGGATTTTGTTGCCAGTGCACCAGGAAACACAAGTGACATCAACTCGTTCATGCTCTACGATTTCCCTGTGTGAAGACATAATTTGTGGGGCAGTCTGGTGAGTTTGTTTTGCTTTTAGAAATCTTTCAAGGTTTGGAGGATGCTTCACAGAGAAATGAAAGTGGGAATAAAGGAAGAGAAGAAAAGGGATGTTAAAAATGCACACAAATGCTCTCGAAGTAATGTGACAAAGTGTACAGATGCTGCCCTCCTGGAATATCAGAATATCAGAATACTGGAAGGGTTCCTGTCGATATTCTGCTAGACGCGCCATCCTTGTGGGAGGGTGTATACCACGGAAGCAGTTCTAGGTAGCTGCTTCAGGCATTCCGAATCTGTCACCTGTGGTTAGGGGCTTTCCCAAGGAGATCTTACGTATGTGGTCACCTCTGGTCATTGACGTGGTCGTACTACTTGGAGCCTCTTTCCTAGTACATACCGCATCTCCCGGAACAGCAACAGTAAAAGAGGCCAGTGTAGCCTTTTGCAAAGGCAACCTGGGTTCATCTTAGCTTTAGAGGGCTGCAGGCATGGACCCAGGTAGAGCGCCAAGAATAAGAGAAGGGACAGGGATGGCCAGTGAGTGCTGCCCCAGCTCAGCCACAGTCTGCACTCCACCCCACTCTTGCTTCTGCTGGAGAGAAGCTTTCAAAGTGAAGAGAACTTGTTAGAATCTACTTAGCAGAGTGTAAGTGGACAGTTGAATTATTTATCAATTTCCGTTTGCTGTACTACAGCTTTATGACACTTGGTTTTTCTTTTTATCAGGTATTGCCACAGGAAGGGAGAGCTACATCCAAGTTAAACAACTGGAGAGAAACTGATAGTCACACAAAAGGAAAACCACTTTGGAGTAAGCAGAACAAATACAACTGAGCTCTTTGAAAGGCAGTTGGGAGAAGGAATGAGAACTGTTTTGCTTTGATGAAGGGGAATCACACTCAAGCCCCGCCCACCTGATTTGCATACCAACGTGAATGGATACATTGCTGCAAAGAGACGTTCAGTAGACCATGATCTTTCTGCCAGCGGTGAGCAAAAGTACTCAGGTGGCTCGTGTTGACGAGGTGATCCTTGGCTTCAGGTTTTAACCCCCTTCATTAGGCGCTTCTAACATAACAAAGTTCATGATCCAAACATTCAATGTGAAAATTGAAAAGCAGCACAGAATGAGTTATCATCTGGCCAAATGACATGGTTCTGCCGTGATGTGCTGTCACCACTTGATGAAGCGAGTACAGTGAAGTCCTCACTTAACTCTGCATATAGGTTCTGGGACTTCAAGAGACACGACGGAACACAAGACCAATTTTGCTGAAGGCTGATGCATATAAACAAGAGTGAGTCCCTACAGCATCTCACGGACATTGTAAGGAAACGACATTGACCAAAACCACCTTATCTGAGGACCTGCTGCCGCAATCAGTTAAATGACAACGGCCATTTGAGGAGCATGAAGAAAGCGGCACGGGTGAAATCTATGAAGAAGTCATCATTATGGACGTATGCACTAATGTCATTTCCTCCCACCACTGCTTGCCCCTGCAAACAGGGCAGCACGGGAAATCAAAGTCGCACCTGTCATACCGTGGTACATTACTGCTATTGCTGCTCATGAGGCCACCCCTGAAACAATCCCACCCATCAGACTCCAGACTGCTCCTGACCGCCCAGGCCGGAGGGGATTGGTGGGCTGGTCAGAATTCTGAAGGGCACAGACGGAACACGAATGTGACAGGGTGTGCTTTGTGCCCCTGGGATCGGACGCCCTGCCACCTGAGCTCACACTGAATGATGGGCCCCGGCTGCTGGCCTGCCTGTGCCCCAGCCCAGCCGTGTCTCCCGCCCACGCAGTGTGTTTCCTTGTCACGTTCACCACTGCACAGCGGAGAATGTCAGTCTTTCCCGATTCTAACAACCGCACAAATGGCCAGCTGTCCTGTGCTTGGGCCCCAGCCCCCAGCGGACTGCACAAAACCCACCTCAGTCGAACTGCCCTCCGAAAGCCCAACTTTACCGTGAAAGCCAGCAGACCAGTGGTGGTCCAAGGCAGCTGGTAAAGACCTTCATCTCCATCACTGAAGAAAACCCCACGGGGCTGCAGGGTCGCTCGGTTCACCTCCCAACACACACACACACACACACACACACACACACACACACCTTAAACCTCTCAGTACTGCAGCGAAAAGTACTACTAGAAGATTTCATAAAGTGCCAAACAATCCTAATGTGAGATGACATTAGTCTTACTAAACTTTCCAAGGGTTAACCCCGAGAGATGGAAATTGTAGGAGGAAAGCCTGTTGCTCCTTCCTCAGAATCGGAGTGTGTGGCAGGGGGCCCAGCTGCCTCTTCCCCGGGGCAGGGCGGGAGGGTAGTTGGCGCTTGGAAATGCTGCCCCGGGAGGAACCCACTTCTGAATTCTTTGGCACCTGGGTGGATCCTGGTGACCACTTCTCCTGCTGGAACGTGAGCCTAACGTGTGTGTCATTTCTACCTGCCAGATAGAGACAAAAAACTCTGGGGTCCCAGGGGGATGGTGGAACCCCAAGATACAGAAAGCCTGTGCCCTTAAATCTCCATGTGGAAGGCCTGCTTGCAAACTCCCCACCTTGGCCTCTAAATGAAGAAAAAATATTCCTCCAGCGGGAATTTGGAGGTTTACCTGTTACCGCAGCCAGCCTTATCCTAATGTCACTAAAACGGGGTGGAAGTGGTTATATATGAGCAGGTGTCATTGACTGGCTGGTGGCTTGTAGCTTTGTTTCTCTTCTTAGATCCTCGACGTGCCCAGTGAAGCTCAGGTGGCATGACCAGAGCTCGAGGCTCTGGCGGAGTTCCATTTGGGAAAAACCAGAGGAGGATAATTTTGCCCTGACATAACTGTCATTCTTCAGGGCCACAGAACTAGGGTAGACTGTGTGGGAACGTGGAAACCGTACAACCTGAATCAAGAACGCAGGAGTTACACTGACAGCAAACCTGCGCAAAGGGTGATGCTGGGAGCCCACGATGCCGCACTTACCTCCAACACCTGCCGTGTCTTGGGGACCAGCCCTGCAGAGCGTGGGGGTGCAGGCGGAGCCGTTTGGTGATGATATCCTGAAGAAAGAGAATGGAAAAATGAGTTATAAGTTTACGAGTTTATATATCACGGCCTATGAACTTAGAGGGATTTTCATTCATCCGTACATTTAATTTCTTAAACTTTTGCTTCCTCTCTTGCCCTTTCCTCACTCTCAACCATAATCCCACACCCGAGCACATCAAGCCAGGTTGGACTCACTGTCTTTAGCGATTTGTTTGTTCCCTGGTTTGTCATAAAAGGCTAACGTGTTCCAAGTTCGTACGTGAAAACTCAAGCATTAAGTTCATAATTGTTTTAAGAAGATCTATGAGTCTTTTCTCTAGGGAATTGTTTTCAAAATAAGTGCTGTGGATGGAATAGAAAAAATTACAGTCATCGTGTGGGGTTCCCAGTACAGCTTAGAACGTCACAGCAGTGGAATAACTTGGGGACACACAGAGGTGTGTCTGTCCTGTGGAACACAGCCGTAGCTCAGTCGCCCTGAATCCAGATATGACTGACTCTTTTTTTTTAAGATTTTATTTATTTATTTTTAGAGAGGGAAGGGAGGGAGAAAGAAAGAGAGAGAGAGAGAGAAATATTAATGTGCGGTTGCTGGAGGCCGTGGCCTGCAACCCAGGCATGTGCCCTGACTGGGAATCGAACCTGCGATACTTTGCCCGGGCTTTTTGACTGACTCTCTTTTTAAGCAAGCTGGGGCTTTGGGGGGAGCACGGTGTATTTTCTATCAGATGGACAGAGTCGGCACGTCTGGAGCACAGCACGCCGGTGGCCACTGTCCCAGGGCCTCAGGCTAGGGAAGGCAGGGTGTCCCAGCTCCAGGACCTGCAGCTGAGGGTGTGAGGTACGGGTTTTCTTGTTTCACCTTTCCCACTTAGCTTCTGAATTCATCTGGAAGTGATCTACCTGGAACTGAAAATATTCCAGTGAAGCTGGTGTCAGGTGGCCAGGCTGCAGGAAGAGATTTTTCACCCTCTCACACAGTGGCAGTTCCCACTGTTTTTTGATGCCAAGAATCACGTGGGACATGTGTTAAGCAGATTCATTGGTGCCTCCTGGTCAGAATTTCCGAGGGGAGTGGCTTGAGAATCGTGGTTTTCAACAAAGTGGATCACTGTCATGGCCAAGCACCTGCAGGAACCACTGTCCTCAAGAACCGTCAAAGGGACAAGAGTCGTCAAGTTTCAGTGCCACTGACTCTGCTGTCCTCACCAAAGCTTTGCAGTTTTCCTTGAAAACGCTCCTCAGATGGTTGCACACCTTTGGTTAATTTCTAGAGTTTTTTAAAAGTTGATTTTTGCCCTGGCTGGCATAGCTCAGCGGATTGAGCGCGGGCTGCGAACCAAAGTGTCGCAGGTTCGATTCCCAGTCAGGGTACATGCCTGGCTTGCAGGCCATGACCCCCAGCAACCACACATTGATGTTTCTTTCGCTCTCTCTCTCTTTCTCCCTCCCTTCTCTCTCTAAAAATAAGTAAATAAAATCTTTAAAAAAAAGTTGATTTTGACATTTTTTCCCAGAGTTTTTCTGCTTTTATGGAGGAGTGGAGAGAGATGTATATAGATCCTCCCTCTCTTCTGAAAGTCCTGTCCTTCACAAATTATTATTATAAAATGTACACAACATAAAATGGACCATGTCACCACATGGAACCGCAAGCCGTAGCAGCATTGGGCTCATTCACAATGCTGTGCAACCACCACTACTCCTTATTTAGCCTGAAAGACCTCACACAATATACAATCTTAAACTGTATTTGATTAATGAATGAATAAATGAATAATTTCATAAATAAAGCATGGAGGCTTGAAAACTTATACTTGTGCCATACTTTTGTCTGAGGAATTGCAAAATGCAACTCTCCACTTATTCGAACGTTGGCGGACCACTGGAACGGGTGCGGACATTTCGTAACAGTTCCATACCGCACTCACCCACGCTCTCCCCAGGGGGGAGGAGCTCTCTCCCTGCATGTTTATGAATCTTACATATTTGCTGTCAAATCTGATTCCGAACCAAAGGACCAACTCTCCTCTGCCCTGCACAATATGGGTGTTCAAAGCAGGTGGTGAATAAAAAGTATTATGTTTTGTATACTTTAATATTTTCCTGATGACACATTTTCAGTGATCAGTCAGTCCACACTTCATCCAGTAATTCCCCCTTGGACCATTTTGATTTTATAGCAGTGTAAAAATACCTCTTTATAGCCTTTTAGAATTTTATTCAAAGAGCTTTTGCTCCTAACTTAAGACATTTGTCTTTGGTGCTAAAATTAACCAAGGGTGGGGTGGGGGGGGGTCAATGGTGATAGGAAGAGATTTGACCTGGGGTGGTAAACACACAATAAAATACACAATGGGTACCTGAAATCCATATAATTTTATTAACCAGTGTCATGTCAATAAATTCAATAAAAAATAAGTTTAAAAAAGAGAAAAAGAAATAATGAAATTTGCCAAGAAAAAGATTAAGAACAAAAGCGAATTTAGAGGATAACCAGTACTTTCAAAACTAGCTGAATCCGCCCTCCTCTTCCATCAGTAACCCCCACTGCTTCTCAGCCTAGAACGGAATGAGCCGTAGTTATACAAAGGATGCACTTACATTTCCAAGGTTCCAAAAAATAAAAATAAAGATAAACCTCACCAGCTTGTGTTTTTTTGTGGTTTGCAGCGTCACAAGGTGCCTTGGTGACACTGATTCACACCATGATCACCCTCTCAGTAGGAAACTAGTTTAAGGTTCTGTACATTTTCACCAGATATCATATTTCCGCATTTTCCCACTTATTAACTACTTTTTCCTATTCTGATGAGTGCATGTGTTTGGATGCCAGCTTTCAAACTGTTTTCAGAGAAGACCCCAGCTGCAGTTGAAGATTCCCCTATCTGGCCAAGAGATGCCTCGAAATTCACAGAACTGGAGAAGGAACTTTCCAAATGAATTGACGTGTCAACATACTTGAGAGCTTTTAAAGACGCAGAGACTGCAGTTTGTTGGGATAAATCAGACAAGGCATCCAACTGAGTACTTTGGAGACATCTTAGCTTTAAGCATGGGTTTGATAATTTGGAAAGCCTGGAAGGCAACATAACTAATATTTATTAGGATATTATTTGAGTTAGTCCTCACATCTCAAGTCGGAGCCTCTAATCCGATGTGATTTTCACATTGATTTCCAGAATTTGGACAAGACAGTTGACAACTAACATACAGGGTGACATATTTCATCAGGGGTCCTCATGTTTTTCTACATCTCCACCGACGTTTTCTGCAGTTCTCTGATAATGCTGTGGATGAACCACTTCTTTCCCTCGCGCGCCCCCTCCCTGCTCCCGCGGAGGGGGCTCCTGCAGTCTCCGCTGCTCAGAGGAAACCTGTCTCCCCGAGATCTTTCCCACAGCATCCTTCCCTACCCGCCCCCCACACCCACCGCGACCCTGACAGCATCTGCCTCCCTCATGCCGATTCCTTATTTCTGTGGTTTCAGTTACCACATTAAACTGAATTCTGTGTGTGTGTGGTGGGGGGGGGTGGGGCGGGGGTAACATCGGGCTGGCCTTAGAGTAAACATTCAGAAACTGCCTGTCGGGCCCTAACGCCGCCTGCACCGCTAGACATTCTGAGGCAGAGCAGAGGGCGGGGCTTTCGGTAGAACTTCCTCGTGCTCTGGAGGCATTTTTTTTTTTCAGCTACAAGTGGAAAAACTAGACAAGAAATAAAGTAAAAGGCTGAGGAGAGCCCTGGCTGGTGTAGCTCAGTGGATTGAGCTTGGGTTTGAACCAAAGTGTCGCAGGTTCGATTCCCATTTAGGGCACATGCCTGGGTTGCAGGCCACGGCACCCAGCAACCACACATTGGTGTTTCCCTCTCTCTCTCTTTCTCCCTCCCTTCCCTCTCTAAAAAGTGGATAAATAAAATCTTAAAAAAAAAAAGGCCCAGGAGAGCCTTCCCTGAGCAGAGAACACAAGATATCCACAGTTTAATCAAATACCCATAGTTTTATGTTTTCAAGAGTACGTAATGATAATTTTACGAGCACTTGAGAGACGACCAATCATTTCAGCTGATAACTGACATTTAGCTCTTCTTCCCGCTGACATTTACAACCAGAAAATACGCGGAGAGAGGTCTCCCAAGTCCCTCCGGGTTTACAGTACCCTCCTTCCCTATTAGCATTCTTGTCTATTTATAGCGACATGTCCAGGTGCAAACTACAAAGCGATCTTACTGGGGACGCTCAGGCCGGTGCTGCGCTGCTTCTGAAGAAAATCGGCCGCCTGCGGGTCCCTCCGGTTCTTTCCTCCGGTAACTTTGGTAACTGCCGGAGTATGTCGTTGGAGAAGAGGCTGACCGTCTTGTTTCATTCTGCCAAGACACGCCAGCCTTGTGCCTGATCAGCTCGAACTCCTGAGAAGTCAGGGGGCTGAAGGGCAGAAGGATTTCTGGAGTCAAGTAGAAGAAGTGTGACATGGCTACGGATGGCCAGCTCTGGGTCACTTTGCAAGCCCTCTGCACGATAAAGAATTAATTTCCTTTTAGAGGCAAGAAACTAACTGACTGGGCTCATCAAAAGTTGCCAAGCAACAGGTCAGAAAATTCCACAAATACGACCATTCTCCTGCCCCCCCCCCAGTTTTAACTAGCAATTTTATAAGTTATATAACTTCCTGGCCTTTGTTCTAAGCAATATATTGCTACAAATTAAGGGAGGAAAGTGGATGGCGATTGCTTTTATAAATGAAGTCATGAGTCCTAATGATGGCTGGTTTAAGAATGCCAAGCATTTGCTCTGTTCAAAGACTGGCAGCCAAGGGTCTTCAGAAACATGAACTGCTGGTGACATCAACAATAGAAGGTGACTCAACCTGTGCTATGTCACAGAGCAATGGTGCCTAAGCTGGCTGCCCGTGGCGTCAGCCCATGCCCCATCCCCCTCAACCTGCCCCTGAAGATTCTGATCTAATTGGCCTGGAGTAGGGCCCAGGCCTTGGTGTTTTTCAAAAGTTCACTCCTGCAGAATTCCAAAAAGCAGCCAGGGTTAAGAAGTAAGGTCATTGAAATGCCACTGTGAACCTTGTTTAGGTTGAGAAGTCATAGCATTCCATCTCTTACTCACGTGATTTCCTGCGTCCTTCGCTAATGATTAAATCTAGTTAATGCGTTTGCCTGCCTTTCTCTGCGTTCACAAACAATCCACTGGCAAATAGGAAGAGATCTTTCAACATTCCTCCTTCCTTTAATCAACCCTTGGAGTGCAGGTCGCAACCCTTGTGCTCAGGCACATGCCCTGTGGAATTCCTTATAAACACAGATGCCATGCCTCCCCCGATCAGTCACTCTGTGAGTGGGTCTCCCAACGGCATTAAAAGAAAGGAAAGGAAACAGAAAGAATCTCCACAGGTGATTGGATCAGCACCTACGGGACACGTTAAACATGCAGAGGACTCAGCCCCACCTTCACAAACTCCTCAGACTACAGTCTGAGGAAAAGCCCAGAAACCAGTGTGCTCATATCATCAGGTGGCTCTGAAGCCACTGACCTCTGAACACTAGGAGTACTTGCTCTGGGGGCTGAATCTAAACAGTCTCTCAATGCAAGGCTGACACACACCATAGGGTATGTCTCTTTGAGAATAACATTATTTGCGAATAATTGCTAATATTTAAAATTAGGAGTTTCTTTCCTTAAAACTTTGAAATGTGGACCATAACACTTTGCCCTAGAAGGGCCAGGCAGATGTTTGCAGATCCAGCTGCTTTTTCTCATGGAGATGAAGGCACAGATTTCTTCGGAGATCTCTTGGAGAAATCTAGACATGATGAGAAGATGAAGATAAACAATAACTCCTGGCTGGTGTGGTTCAGTGGACTGAGTGCCAGCCTTTGAACCAAAGGTCTGCCGGTTCAATTCCCAGTCAGGGCACATGCCTGGGTTGCAGCCCAGGTCCCCAGTAGGAGGCGGGTGAGAGGCAGCCAGCCACACATTAATGTTTCTCTCCCTCTTTCCCCCTCCCTTACCCTCTCTCTAAAAGTAAATAAATACTTTAAAATATAAAAAATGAAATAGGGGAATAAAAGTGGACTGCACAACTTGCTTTGGCCCATCCAATGTCAGGTAGCAGCTGTTTATCTGCCTAAACCTTTAGCGATTCTGGCAAAAAAAAGTGTTTTTAAAGAACTATCTGCTAGCAACATATATATATTGTTTCAAGTCAGGAAAATAAATAGAACACATTTGAGAGGTTATTTGTAGAAAATATTTTAAAATGTTCTTATTTCAACATATTGTGAAGTAGTCTATAAAATATATAATAAAATAAGCTCTTTCTAAGGTATGGTATAAGTGTATTTAACCATAACTGGTCCATATTTCTGGTCCTTTATGTTAGTTTCTTTTCTTTTCCCAAAATCAATTATGATAACATTTTAACAATTATAGCCTTGAGAATCAATAGTAATAAAACTTAAAAGCTTACATGAAAATGTCTAATCGTGGTTCAGATGTAATTAGATTTTTGCCCATCAATTTATTAGATATTGAACAAGTCTGTTAAAATAAGTTTACTTCAAACTAGAGAATAAGTAAAACAGACTAATTAGATTTATTATCATAAGTATTTAATCTATACAGTCCTAGAGAATTCTAAAGGCCTCTGCACTCACTCTTTGTCCTCATTCTGTCAAGAGTTTCACTCACTTGTCTGGGACACTGGTACTCAGTGCTGATTTGTATGATCTGATTTCCAGGTTGAGCCTGCACTAAAAACTTCCATTGTACCTGATTTATGGCAAGTTAGGTTGCTCGGCCCCTGCTGTGTTAAATGTGAAAAAAAAACCTTGACAAGGAACTCTGGCTTGTGAGTGCAATTCAGTGAAAAGAGAAGCTTCCTGAGCAAGTGACCTTATACCCAATAAAACCAGCAGGTGGCGTACCCGTCACCTGACTGGGAGGAGGGGGCTGGCCTGGACCAGACTTTTGTCTACACGCAAGCTGATTATTCTAATAAGGTGTTAATAGATATTAATTAAGACTTTCAGGGTTAAGTCCAGGCAAGTTAAAAAAAAACAGGCTTCTTTGCTGTAGGACTGAGAGCCTTTAATATTTCAAAGTGCATTGTGAAATCTTTCAAAGGGACATAGATGGTACAGCATTTCCTAAATGTATTTAGCCACGAGCTCTGTTTGCAGGTGAGGAGCACTTCGGGGTAACTGCTGTTCTGTGGAGCAGTCCGGGAGCTGAAAAGGCTGGGGTCTTTACCACGAAGACAACGGCTGCTCGGCAGTCTCTGAAATCTCCTTAGACCTTCACCAGACATCCAACCCAACTGTGGACACAGCTAGGAAGAAGGTGGGTTGAGCAACAGTTCTTGTTTTCTTCCAACTGAGACACAACATCAAACAGTGAAGTGCACAAGTATACTTTACATGTGTGTACATCCATGGAACTACTACCCAGATGTATCCCTCTGGTCCCTTCCCAGTCAAAACAGCATGTACACACACGCACCCCGAGGTAACCATTTCCATTTCTGTCACCACAGACTCCATAGGTCAGGCTGCATTCTGGGAATGCAGAAACCATTCCAAGATCGAACCAAGGAGGGAAAACAAGTTATGGGAAGGCCAGAAAAAGCAGAATTCCCTTGAGCAAAAACACCCGATATGAAGCTGAAGCTTCCGTCTTGAGCAAGAATCTGTCCCCTCCCAGAAGGTGCCAAATTCTGCTGTTTGGGTAAGTGTGGCCAACAGCGGGATGAGCATACACAATGTGTTGTAGTTAATAACCGTATGAGTCTGTCAGCATAATATTAATGCTCAGCCCTTGATCTTGGAACAATTTCTTTGTGCTTACCAACTGCATGACTTGGAAATCTTGAGTGTCTTATCAAAAACTGTGTGGCACATGGTCTCAAGGACACAGGACACAAGGGACCAGCTGCAACAGGACTGGACGGAAATAAAGAGGGTGAAAGGGCACAGGAGCAGGAACAGGAAACTGATACAGTTAGCGAGGAGGAGCCTAAAAGGAAGGATGTTTTTTTCTTTTTGAAATTTCTTTTTTAGTTATTTTTACTATTTGAAAACTGAAATCGATTTCAAACTGTGTATGCATTGTGATCCCAATTTTAAATGAAAAACGTGTGTATTTATAAGAAAAGGTCTAGCAGTCTATACATTGAAATATTAACTTATTACATATTATATACTATTTTTACTTTATTTTTTATATTTTACATGTTTATTTTCTAAACATTTTACAATGAATATATGTAACTCATAATCAGAGCCACTATGTTATTTTACAAAAAGTGAGACAAATGCGATACATCCACATAGAACCTATTCCCCAAATCTTGCAAAGACTCTCTTTTGGGTTTACAATTATTTTTCTCTTCTACTTCTCTAACAAACAAACAAACAAACAAACAAACAAAAAACCCTCCAGGACAACATTGGAATCAATTCAACAAATATGATGCTTCTTAGACTTTCTCCCCCTCAAGCTCCGGGTCCAGGTATCAGAGGCAGGGAGGAAGTAAGTCACACAGCTCTTTCAAGTGGGGGTGTGTTGGGTGGGGACTAGGGAATGGGGAAATGGAAACAGAAAAACATCAGGTTTGTGGTGGACCCCCATGTGAGAAACCTGAAGTAACGGCTGCAGCCTTCCAAGGAAACCCTGTCTAATCACAGGTGCCCACGAGGAGGTAACCCACAAATTGTGCCCCCCCAACACACACACAAGACTCACAGTAACTGAAACTGAAAAACTAGTCCCGACAATGGGCAAGATTTCCAAATGTCCCCGTGGCACCCCTGGAATCACGAGCATACAGCGGGATCAAGAGCATACAGCAGGGGCCAACTTCTGCTCTCCCGAGCGGAGTGGAGGGGAAGCAGACCCCCCCAGGTGGAGCGGCCCCTCCTCCCTGCACTGTGGGGCTAGCCGTCAAGGCACAATCTGCTGTACGACAGTCCGAGTGTCACACAGAACACATGATCGGGACAGTCAAAGTGACTGAGAAAGAACCTGCGGAAAGGTACTTCAAAGTTCTGTTCTTGCTGAAGTGTCCTGCGTCTTCGGAGACAATCATGCAAATAATAACAACAACTGGTGACAACAGAAGCAAATACTTTCATGTTCTAGACACTCAGCAAGCCCTTCACACACAGTACTTTATTTGATCCTCACAACGACACCATGAGGAAGGTACTGTCATTGTCCCCGTTTTGCAGGTGAGGAAATGGACCCACAGAAAGTTCGTCCACTGTCGAACCGCCAGCGAGTGACAGAAGTGTGGCCGAAACTCCGACGGCGTGGCTGCAGTCTGGCCTCCAGACCACTCCAAACTACACGTTTAACCTGCTTTACCCTCTCATCTGTCATCTCCACCACCTCTGCCGATGCTCTTGCTGCCAAGGAAGGACGTGCAAGGCTTCCTGTCAGGTACACCGTGCCCCACTCCGAAGCGTCTGCAGTCAGGTGTAAAAACCGCCCATCAAATGTCACCCGTCAAACACCAACGTGCAAGACCCTCGCAACCCCCGAAAGCCTCCGAGCTAAGAAGAGGGGTTCTATGACGGTTTCCCCCGTGCATATCTCCCGACTGGGATTACAAGGTTCTTTGCAAGGAGGACTGCATCTTAGCCGGTGACGGCTTCTAAACACTTGCAGATAAACAATAGGCAGATGAACTCCTCAGGGCTTTAAACAGCTGAATCCTACCTGGAAGGTCATGATGGGGGGAGGAGACAAACAAACAAAATAAAGTTGATAAGTCAGTCAGTTAATGCATGTGTGTTGGTGAACAAAGACCAGAAGATAAGTCTGGTTAGGACTGAAGAGACAGTCCCTTCATTCGCTCCCTATTCAACAAGGCAGTTACTTCCTGAAGTGGTTGGCTCAGTGAAACACAAATCCAGGTATTACTTTCCTGTTACTAAGTTCTGTCCACAAGTTCAAGGATGCGCAGGAGGAATGTGCACAAGACCTGGGAACAGAGGACCCTACAACGTCCTAGGCTGATACTCCACCCACCTCCTTCAGACGCTAAATTGGCGTGGCGGCGGATTTATAATGTGCACAGGTATTTATGTGCCTGTTTCTGAGGTTATATCGAGGGATGCTTTCAGCTTAGAGAGACACAACAGTACTTTGTCCTACAGAAACGTGGGTATCCCAACAAATGCAATTTAGGATACTCTGGAGAACTAGATTAATTCAATATATCCCAGCTCTTTGACTTGCCATTCTTTGTTAGAGATTTTTCGATATGCGGCTTTGTCTCTGTGGCTATGTATAAGCTTTGCTCAGAATTTGTTCACTCGTCCATTCATTCCATAAATATTTATTGTGTGTCTATTCTGGGTCACTGAACAACACCATTTATTATTCTGTGCCACACTGGTCTATTCCCAACACATACAATGATATATCTGCTGCATTTTTCCTGCCACCCTCCTTTAAGTAGGGGACCGTGTGAAAAAGATGAACAGAATACAAATCTAGCTGGGTACACTTTCTAAGTATTAGAAAGTAGGTATACCATATACAATGAAGTAACTTTTGTGCTGAGGTACAAATCCCTACCAACATATGATTAAGGTTAAACTATTTTGAGCTAAAAATTCATGCTGCAGGTACCACATGATAGGGCTTGATGGCAGAGCAGCTTCACAGACATGGTAGAGTGGAATAAACCAGAGTGAGCGTTCTAAGGGCAGAAGACGTCCTGTGCGCTCGACCCCTCCCCCACTCTCCGGCGGGCACCAGACGTCATCCCCGCAAGGCAGAGGAGCCTGGCCTGGCCACATGTTTCCCCGCAGCTCCCCTGCTGCTCACGGCTAACGGCCTCAGAACGCCTCTGTAACTTCCTGAGTCCCTCTTACAGACGCCCAGCCTCTCAGACTTGCAGACGTAGGTCCTTCGGGAGAGTTCGTCAAAGCCCGACACTGAGCGGCGGGACAGCAGCAGACGCGGGGTGCCGCACTTGTCAAAACAAACATGAGGACGCTCTCGTGTTCCTTTTGTTTTATGGGTTTCGGAGGTCCCAAGGGAAGGCAGCACTGGGAGGTCGCAGACTATACTCTTAGCGGGGGTGGGGAGGAGTGTGATGAAACCTTGGCAGAAGTTCCTTCTTTGAGTCAGACTCAGACGGGGGGTTGACATTAGTGTCCTGGAGCTGCTGTAACGAGGAACCACGAACTGGGTGGCTTGACACAACAGAAATGTACCGTCTCGCGTTCTGGAGTCTAGCTGTCTGCCCTGCAATCCAGGTGCCAGCGGGGCTGCGCTCTCCCTGGAACACGTGGGAGGGTCCTTCCTCGCCTCTTTCTCGAGTCCGCCCGTTTTCCAGCGGTCTTCAGCGCAAAGCTGCCTCCCTCCAGTCTCTGCCTTCATCTCTACAGTGGCCCCCGCTGTATCTCCGCCTCCCCATGACCATCTTCCGATGAGGACACGGGCCATGTTGGGCCAGGGCCCATCCAACCCCAGCACGACAGCATCTCGGCCCCTCACATCCGCTAAGATCCTGCTGCCAAGTAAGAGCGCATCCGCAGAGACTGAGGACTGGGATGCGGGGGATCCAACTCTTTCCGGGGGGATCCAACTCAAACCGCAGCAGCGGTGCTGGTGCTCTGCAGTGCGCTGCGTACAGTGGTCTGTGCCCTCTGTGGTTCCAGGAGCCCCAAGTGACCGGAGCGAAGGGGAAGGAAGTTTCTGGAACCAGCAACATCACGGGTTTTATCAAGAGGTGGTGTGATTTCTTAAGTTCTTACCCTAAGATGTAGTGTGGGTAGCAAATCTCTAGTAAACAGTGACATTTCTAGAATTAAACAGCCCGATAACCTAAGGAAGAACAGGAACAATTGAAAAGATTACAGCCAACAGCCCATACATTTTTCTTAAGGGCTGGTTCTAACCCACGTAACAGAGAGGTCGCTGAGTAAGGAGCCAGCAGAGGCAGTGGGTCTGAGGCCCGGCCATGCCGGCTGCTCACGCAGATCCCCTGAGTGCGCCGACACCGTGCTTTCTCCCTGAGAGTTTGCTCTTCGGTGGGAGCACACACACTGCCCACCCCACCCACAACCCGGGGAAACGGGGCCTTCCAAACTGCTCCTGCTGACCAAGGAGCAACCGTATTTATCCCTTCTCCCGGCCCTGGAACACAGGTTGAGGTGGGCTACTGCTTCTGGGCAACTCGCCCAGGGGTTTCCCTCCGCGACCTCCAGCGCCTCTGAAAGCTGAACAGGCCAATCATGTTTCTGCCAGGAATCGAAAATGAGGAACCCAGGAATTATGAAGTGTTAAATTGGGAACTGGAGCTGCAAAACAGTGAGACGAAATTGGAGCCAGGAGGGCCCTGATGACTACATACACCTCGCCTGTGGGTTCTGGTGGTATGTTACCACTAGCTATAGGTTAATAATTAATTAACCCTTTTCATGAAGCTCACATCCTTCAGTAAAACATATCAATAACGTGTATTTATTTATATCTCATGTCTATGTGTAGTATTTCTAACAACACTTATTTCTAACATCAATTATTAAGTGCTAAGCACACTGTAATTTCTCACCTAATCACTCCGGCAACCTGTACAGCGGCCTCCCTTACCCTGACCTGACAGAGCAGCAAACTCTGAAGCTGTGCTCGCGTCACTGCTGTGCTCCTGCCGACTGCTCTGTGACTCGTGCACCCGGGTGGCCGTTTCAGAAATTCCTGGAATGGTCACTCGTGGGTTTCAGCTCTTAGAAGCCCACTGTGTATTCTTCTGGCCTCAAGTAAGACTTCTGAAATGTGGTGATTCCTACTTATATGTTCCCTCAAATTTCCTGAGAACACAGAACCGAGGAAGGCATTTTAAGGTGCACCGTCCTCAGCCCTCTCGGCTCCTGACTGCTCTCCTACAGGCCACCGCGCCAGGGCAGAGGACAGAGAGAAGCAGGAGGACACGGAACTCAGGCACAGACCACAGGTAGGTACCTTGTAAGTACTGCCCGACCCCCTGACCTCTGCCATCCGCAGCTAATATTCCTCCAGTTTGCAGGCACAGTTATTTTCCACATACAGAGGCTGAGGGCACTATGAAAGCATTACTGAAAATATAAGCACACAAGTGACTTTCAAAATGAAAACACTTTATGATACGATATGGAAAATTAGTGTATAGGATACATCTCATTAGTCCGTGCTTGAAAAGCTTTCAACAGCAAGTCCGCCGCCAGGCCTGGGGGCAGGGCGCCACTGAGGACCTTCCTCTCCAGCAGAGGAATCTGCTCCCGGACCGTGGGGTGGGCCCTGAAGTGCTCCAGCACGCTCTCCCGGATGAGGTTCCACATCCAGACCTTCTGCTGCCGCTGCCGCCGGGCGGTCAGCTCCCCGCTGGCAAGCATCAGGTCCCAGAATTCTCTCATCCTGTCCCACATTTCGGCAATCCCCTCTCCACTTCTGGCAGAAATACGAACCACCTATTGAAAAGGGGAAAACCAGCACCGTGCTACTTACAATGATAGAACACACTTTCATGGGGACTTTGATGCCTGCCAATTAATTCTTGCAGTCTAAGGAAACGGGCAATGGCAGAAATGAGACATTTCATGGCTGCGTCCAAGTCACCATACGGGGAATACACCGAGGTAACTCACTAGGGTTCCCACGTGCACAGCACAGGTGAACCACTGATTCGAGGCCCAGTTTTTCAGCCCAGAGATTCGTCCAAATTCGGGACTGCCCAGGTGGTCCTCAGAGGCCCCGTGGCGGAGCCGTGAGAGGGTCACAGGGGTGAGAAGGGCCAGGCTCGGCAGGTTTCTCTGAGGCCTGACGCCAGGGAATGACACCAAGGTTAGCAACCCTGTCCGAGTTGCCCGACTCAGCACGTACAAGACGACTCTGCACTGGACACACCAGGTGACTGGGGGAGAGGGGGAGCGCCAGGCCATGTCGTCAGGGTTCTCGTGACGGTGACTAGAGGTTCGTGCTCACTAACACAGGGCCCTCCTGCAGACAGAGCCGCCACGTCAGCGTTGTGGCCCCGCCCATTGCAGGGTTCTTCTGCTCTTCCCGCACTGAAAACAGCACCCACGAGCCTACTGGGAAGTTAATCACCTCAAGGGCCTTCCTCTCGCTCTTACTCAAACTCTATTATAGATCATCACATCATTAATTGCTCCAGATTCCTAAAGGGGTTTCTTTCAGAAAGGATTTGCTGTCACTTGCAAATGGCTCCAGCCCAGCGTTAAGCGACCTAATCTATCACTCCACAACTAGCTTTTGACATCTCCTGGCTGAAGGGTTATGCTGACCATCACGACTACATACTCGGGCTTTGTCATAACTCTTAAAAGTGTCATCTCACATACAAGTCAAGACCTGAGTCCACGCCCAGCTTGGACTTCCACCCCCTGGCGTGCGCACGCGCAGCGCGCTCCGGGTGAGAGGCGGGGCTGGGGCCCGTACCTTCGGCTTCCAGACTCCCGAGCGCCGGCGGAGCAGCTTCAGCGCGCTCACGTACTCCGCCTGGATCCTGCGCGCCGGCACTACCAGGTCCCCGTCGGACTTGGTGATGGCCACCAGGTCTGCCATCTCAATTATACCTCTTTTGATACCCTAAAGAGGAAAGGAGAAGAAAGTGATGTAGCAAAAACACTTAATTTAATTACAGCTTAAAAAAAAGAGGGGGGCACCGATCGACACTAAGATTTTGGAAGTCATACACCTCCTTAACTAACGTTTTCTCTGCATCTCTCGCAAGCCCTGGGTACCAGGAATCACAGTGACTAGACAGAAATTACTCAAAAGCACTGTCTCCTGGGACTATGAAAGTCATCTGGAAAGTCTTCTAGATTTAGAGCCGCACATGCTGTGAGTTAGAGTGAATGTACCATCAAGACACAACATGCCTGAGTGGCAGGAGCCAGTTCACAGGGTCTCAGGATGGGGTCTGCTTCTCCTGGGCTAACAGCGCAAGATGCGGAACCGTCCGTGAGAGAAAGCACGCCTACCGCCACCTTCGGCGCATCTAGAAACACAGTCTTTGAAGTTTTCCTTAAATGTACCAGCATATAGCGTTTTGGGGTTTTGTTTTGCTTTTTTTTTTGCTTTTTGTTTTTGAGGAAAAATAACCTGAGGATTAAAAAAATGCCTCAATCTCTTTATTTAAATTATGCTGCAAAAAAACCACACTAGACATCCTAAGGCCAAACCTTATTTGAAAAATGTAGATTTTTCCATCTAAGATTAAGATTTCTTTTCAAATGTTTTAAAACATAACTTTCAACGATTAAATTCTAATATTTAATTTTTCTAAACTGCAGCACCCATTGTCTGCTGTCACTCTATTTTTAGAACTAAAATTCTCTGTACAACAAAGAATTCGTCTGGTGTTTGTCCAAGGTTCCTGGGGAGTAACCTCTAAGCCCCTGGAATTTCCTGAGTGACAGGGGTGTCTTTGTCACTCACCACGGGTGCCGGGGCTACACCTGAGTTCGGAATGGGAGCGGAGCACCAGGAAGACCGACCGTGTGACTGATGGGAGCCTGACCCCTGGGGAAGGCTGGGGGCGGGCTGCTGGGCCCTCTCCCTGCATGCCCCTTCATTTGGCTAGTCCTACTTTGTATCATGAAACTATAACTGTAATACAGTGCCTCCCCGAGTTCTGTGAGTCATTCTGGTTAATCATCAAACCTGTGGGAACCCCCACATTGGCGGCCAGTTCGTCAGAGCCGTGGGTGGCCTGGGAACCCCCAAGCCTGCCGCTGGTCTGGTGTCTGGAGTGAGGGCGGTCGTAGGGGAGACAGTGCCCTCCGGCAGGGAAGGCTGTTAATGCCAGGTGGCCCGTGCCAGACTTGCTGCATGCGCTGCAGGAGGAGAGCCAGAGTCCTACTGCCCGAGACATGAACGCCGGTGGTGGGGTCCCAGCGAAACACACAGGGGTATCTTAAGAGGAACTTCTCAACCAACTGGACTCCGAACGCCCACGTGGCAGTGGCCCCTTCCCGCTGCAGCCGCCCACGTATGCCACCACTCCCGCCCGGGTCACGGGAGGCCAAATCTGGGCTGTATCATTAGCTCAAGGTCCTCAGTTCTGTTATTGTAAGTTGGGAGAATGTACAAATCCGCCTTTGACAAGTATTTTAGCCAATGTGAATGTTGCTGTTTCTTTCCCTACACTAGTAACAACTTAATTTACAAAAACAGGACATCTGAGACTTGCACTTTCAGAGATGTATACTTTGTGTTTTGGGGAGGAAAAAGTCGAAACGATTACCTGCAATTCATCCCCTCCTGCTGGTGGCAGCAGTAACACGAACATGTCAACCATGTCGGCAACAGCGAACTCCGACTGCCCCACACCTGAGATTTAAATCACACTGCACGCTGAAATGTTCGGTGACTTGGTTTCCCAACCACACTGACGATGGTGTCCACTCCTCTTCGTTCACTCATTCCATCACCCGCCCGACCCGTCACCCACCTTAAACACCCCCCGAAGAATGACACGTCCCTGTCCTGGCCTACGAGCAGGCCCGTCGCCCTCCCCATCAGCCTCAGTCTCTGACCGAGTGAGAACCGGGGCCGCCCCTCCCACCCCACTCCTGCAGCGCTCTCCTAGCCTCCCTCTCTGCAGCGAGCACACTGAGCCCTGTGGCTCCCCCGTCCACTGTGCCTGTCAACACTCTCTCTGCCTTCCTACCTCCTCGCCCTTCCGCACCAGCCCTGCAACACTCCCCCACCCCAGCCCCTGAGCAGATCAGGGCAGTTCCCTGGGCTCTGGCCTCTGTGTGCATGCTGGAGAACCGGCTTAGGCGCGGACCTGAGGGGCCACGATGGGGCCACGGGCTCCTACATCTACCGTGAACCCTCAGGGCCCTGTAACAGCGATGCCCCTGAGGGCCTTCAGTCAGCCCCCCGCCCACTGCTCACACTGGTCACACACACACAGTCCTGTAATCTCGCACAGGATGGTGGCCCGGCACCTGCTTCACAGCAAAGAAACAACAAGAACTTCCTCAGCCTCTCCGCTGTCCCCCCACCAGTGAGCACCCGAGAACATGAGCTCTGCCCCCGCCTCCTCGCCAGTCCCGGGGCTACAGCACTGGCTGGAGACGACCCTGCCCCTTCGGTCCTCTGGGCCCATCCGCTCTGTCTCTAGCCTCGCTTTTGTCTACGGCTCTGTCCCTCAGCACAGGGCATGAACTGCACTCAAGTCTTTCTCATCTGAAAACCAAACACAAGTGAAAAACCAGCATGAACTCACGAGCCCTCCAGCCATCACCAGATCTCTCTCTCTCTCTTTAGAGCTAAGTTTCTAGGAAAAAAACATGCATGTTTGCCATCTTCATCTGACTACTTCCCATTAACCTCAGTCCCCTGAAACCCGACTCCCACCTCCCCCGTCCTCCAGCACCCCTCCCAGCACTCCCTCCCTCCTGCTGGGCAGAGACTCCTAACTGCCCATTCAGTCTCTCCTCTTCTCTACTTCTAACCCCAGGGTCACGGGAGCGTCAGTGTACCAGATGCAAGGCCATGGTCACCAGACCCCCTTTCAGCTACGGATGATTAACAAGTAGAAACTCATCAGACGGCGTTTCCAGGAAAGGTGGTTTCTTCAAGGGCGCACCCAGCCAGGAGGTGCTCACTTCTGCCCGCCCTCTGCCCCCCTTCCTCCCCCTCTCCTTCCTTCTGCCCGGAGCACTGATGTGAAAGAGGGTCGCCAGCCGTCTTTCAGTGACAGCAGAGAGACAGAAGCCTGGGACACGGAGGGCATGGTAGAACACCCACGCCCGCTCAGGACACCTGCCTCCAGGCTTTTATCTACAAAAGTAAACCTCTTTCTCATTGGAATCACAGTTATTTTGAGTCTCCGGGACAAGCAGCCCAATGTGCAATTTCCAGGTGACGCACTTGGTGTTTGTGGCCCTCCTCTCCCTTGCTTCTCCTGCTACCACGAGGCCAACTCCCCCTCCATCACCCTCAGCGGCGAGAGCGCCACCTCTCTCCACGCCCTGCCCTCACCCTCCCGCTCCAGGCAACCCGGGCCACCGCAGTTCTCTGCTCGGGCCACACTCCCTCACGCCTGTGTCCTTGCAAACACCCTTTATCCCTCCCACCCTTCATGTAAGTCCAATTCTTCCTTCAAGACTGAGTTCAACGATAATAAACAGTAAGGTAATATATTGTTTCCCCACCAGAATGTGAATTTCTTGGGTTTCCATTTCAGTATTCTCACCACATGTAGTTATGCAATAGGGACAGAAAAATGAAATAAACGTGGCCCTGTTTTCAAGAGGCACCCAACTGCATTACTTTTCTTAGCAAACATTGTAGACATGAGCCCTGGCTGGCGTAGCTCAGTGGATTGAGTGCAGGCTGCGAACCAGGCATCGCAGGTTCGATTCCCAGTCAGGGCACATGCCTGGGTTGCAGGCCACAGCCCCCAGCAACCGCACATTGATGTTTCTCTCTCTCTTTCTCTTTCTCCCTCCCTTCCCTCTCTAAAAATAAATAAATAAAATCTTTAAAAAAAACACATTGTAGACATGAAATGTGCTTAAGCAAAACAGGTGTCATGTTAAAGCCCCGTTTCTGCAAGTCATCCCGGTGCTCACGGCTCTCCTCTGGTACTGACAGCACATCACCTCGTGCCACAGGTACCCAGAGACACGGCTTCTTCTCCTTCTCTTCGAGGGCAGGATTACAGCCTATACACCCGCATCTCCCAGCGAGTCTGAGATAGTGTGTGTTCAATTATACCTTTAGTAACGGCTGCTGAATGAACGGACGAAGTCAGCTGTCACTCGCGTTGACGCGGAGTGCACCGGAACAGGATTTTGTCACGAGGCGGAAGATCACACTCACCTACGGTCTCGATGAGAATGATGTCGTAGCCCCCTCCTTCGCACAGCAGGATAGCTTCATTGGTGGTCCTTGTCACCCCTCCCAGGGTGCCTCTAGTAGGAGACGGCCTGATGTACGCATTCATATCTCTCGATAACTCAGTCATTCGGGTTTTGTCACCCAAGAGGGATCCTAAAATGCAGTTACATTTTATAATCACGGAACACCTATAAGGGCCAATTACCAATTAGCCAGTTCCTAGAGGAAGTGCTTTATGACATTTCTCCCTGTATCTCAAATTGTATTTCCCATTATTGAGCTTTTCTCCCACACACTATATACAGTAATGACAAATTAAACTCTTTTTAGCACGTCAAGCCCGTCAAACCCTGTAATGGCTTCCCAAGGACTAGAGGCTCGAATCTAGATGATTCATCCCACCCAGCCTGTCCGGTCTCGGCACCCACGGGTCCCCACAGCGGTCCTGCGCCGCAGCCAGGGTGCTTTCTTTACTCTCGCCCTAACATTATTGTGTTTACAGTTCTCAACTTGGCAGGATTCTGCCCCAGAGGAAATCTGCCAACACCCAGAGATACTTTTAGTTGTCACAACAGGGGGACAGGGTGCTCGGGGCACCTGGGGGGAGAGGCCAGGATATTGCTAAGCGGCCTTCAACGAGCAGGACCATGGGGATGTCATCAGTGTCAAGGTGGAAAAGCCCAGCTTTAACCTAAGCTCCTCACCTATAGGACCGTATCTTACACATTTTGTATGCTGATTGCTTGTTCACAGTGGGCAATTCACTGAATGCCTAGAGGGATGTTTCAGGGTTTACTGCGGTATTTTGGCAAATACCAATATCTCCAAAGTCTGGAGGACTGAAAGACCTGGCACTACTGAAATCACCTTTAACAGCTTCCCTTCAACCATGTACTGACATTTGACTGCCCAGTGCTGTTCTCTCCTGAAGTTCAACACTCACTCTGCGTAAACAGAGCTAACTTTCCCACATAAAGTTGATGCTCACCGTGGAGAAGTTCCTTCAAGACATGCCCTTTTCCTCCCTTACGATCCCAGTTTGGAGTTCTCATAGATGCTAACTCCGGAGCACAGGCCCGCCACAAATCTCAACCACCTCACTTACTGCACATAGAACTACTTTCTAAAGTCATTTTCTGCATGAAATGACTTCTGTGTAAGTCCACAATATGCTGAAACTATACTTGAAATGATCCTCCTATAGATGCTAATGCACTGAACTCCACATCATGAAATTACTCTCCCATGTAATTGGCTTTGCCCAGGAATCAAAAACCGCTGGGCGCCAGCCCTCTGGAAGGCCTCAGAGCTGCTGGGGGGCCCGTGCGTGCAAAGCTCAGGTCTGCTTCTCAAACCGCAACCTGATGCTGGTTTTCAAATGTATGTACTACTGCACTTAGAGTGTCCTGTTTATGCTCGCATACTTTTTTCTTCCGGAGTCTGTATTTTGTTTTCCCTGAGAAAGGGAACCTCATCTTTGGTTTCAGAAAGTTCAGGAACCACACGGCACACAACTGCAATCAGACCATCGCATGCCAGCATTTCTGCTGGGGTTACCTCAAGCTCCTGTTCTCTTTGGCTACTGCAAGTGTTCTAGAATATTTATTATCAAGGCGCAGGGGGAAAAATGCCTCCTCACCTACAGGGAAATGAGGGCCACTCTCAAAAAGTATTTGTTCAGGTACGTACCTTTAACAAAGTTCTTAGACTGTGGCCCTGGCTGGCGTAGCTCAGTGGATTGAGCATGGGCTGCGAACCAAAGTGTCGCAGGTTCGATTCCCAGTCAGGGTACATGCCTGGGTTGCAGGCCATGACCCCCAGCAACCACACATTGATGTTTCTCTCTCTCTCTCTCTCTATCTCCCTCCCTTCCATCTCTAAAAATAAATAAATAAAATCTTTAAAAAAAAAAAAAGTTCTTAGACTGTAAGTAAGACACTACATTGATAGGAACTTAATCTTGAACCTTGCGGATATAAATTTTATTTTAGTTAACCTTTGTGTTATGGTGAATCAAAAGCTGTGAATGTCCTCAGCTAAGTTTCTCAACGGGTGGTAACAGGAATTGCTATCCACCTCTCTATGAAGCTGAAGACCCAGAAATAGGATTTTATCGTCTGTATAGTTTAGCCTTGAAGCCATAGCACACAAACCACACAGGTGCACAAAGCACGCTGCACTTCCCCTTTCCCACACACACCTTGCAGTGGCCCGTGCGCCCTCAGGTGACACGAGGCTCCGTAAGGCCACGAGGACTGTGGCTTACTCACCATTGGACAACGCGGTGCCTTACCTGCACAGTGCCTGCCTACAGTCATACTTGTTAACTGGATGACTGTGATGTGAGAAGCTTCAATCACAAAGCAGGGTAAGAGAAGAAAACCCTTCCCTATTTGCATGGTATGCTTTATGTTTCCTTACATGAGCCTTTGGGGGAGTACGATTATTCATCTCATCCCTGATGAGCTGCAAATTAAACTTGAGTGACGGCAAGACCTCAAATCAGTAGGTGGCCGTGAGTGTCGTGTGTAATGTGTCGTGTATGTTAAGTGCTGCAGGAGGAACAGTGGAACACTACATGGGCCCTCTAAGAGCGTTCCTGTTAACAGAACATGTAATCTAAACAGGTGACAAGTTCTAAGGTGTTTTTTTTTAAGCTTAAAAGGAGATATTACGATAAGAGGAAAAGAGAGAAAGAGGAAGGACCCATTTTCTGAATCATGTAAGGGCCGATGCAGCCAGGAAAACCAGGAAGGGAGAGGGGCCTACCCTCAGGTGTGACAGACAAAGGGCTGAAATTTGCTGTTAATTATCTTCAGCTCCTGGCCATGTTCTCCTAGTTCTCTGGGTACCCAGGCCACTCCTTGATCCTGGGCTAATCCTGTCTGCAGAGCCCGACGCCCCAAACTGCCTCCCTCAGCCTCCACCTCGCTCCCCGGAACTCCTCCTCCTTCAGTGAGACCAAGCCCAGCTGGAGGTCAGAAGGCACCTGACTGCCAACTCCCACTGCACTGTACCAGAGAGCCCCACCAGCCCCAGAGCCCCTGCTCTGCCACTTAGGGAGAGTCCGCCATACTCACCCCCGCTAGCGCAAGACGAAGGGTCCACGGCCAGCACGGACAGCTTGTGCCCCCTCTCAGTGAGCATTTTGCCAAAATACTCTATGAAGGTTGATTTTCCAGCACCAGGGGGGCCGGACAATCCTATAGTGAAAGAGATCTTCTGATTTAATGAAATAAATGGTGAGTTCTATTAAGACATTAGACTTCCTTCTGTTCCTCCTAATTAAAACCATCGTTACTGTATTTTAACATTTCCAAAAGCAGTAAACGAAGATCCATTTGTTTATCTAGTAGCTGAGTAATAGAGACATAGGAAGGAGACAGTTCTGAGTTCCATATGTTCACCAAATACACTTTTTTAAAATTACAAAACACGGCCTCCCTTCTTTACTGTAACCTAGACCTTTGGGGACAGGCTTCATCGCCCGGGCTGTCAACGCGCCGACCGTCCACAGCGCCTGCCCGCCTCTCGACGCGACCGGCAACGATGCCACCTACCCCGTCTCCGTACGCTGGGTCTCCCCACTGGAGAAAACAACTACTCATTGCTCTAAAAATTGCTAGCAATGCAAAAAATAATTTCCTATTTATAAAAGATTATTTTTTCATCTCACCTGTAACTCAAAGAATATAGACTAAATATTGAAAAAACAAAGAATTTGTCTCAAGAAAGGCAGAGGGTATTATATTATGCTAAGTGAAATAAGTCAGGCAGAGAAAGACAGACATTGTATGGTTTCACTCGGATGTGGAACCTAAAAAGACAAAACAAAACAAAACGAACGAAAAAACCCAAACCAAACAAAAACACACTCATAAAAACAGAGACCAAAGGGATGATTACCAGAAGGGACAGGATGTGGGCAAAGGGGAATATAGTCGATAATACTTTAGTTTACACAGTGACAGACGATGTAACGTATAAATATGTCGAATCACTACATCGGACACCTGAAACTGATATAACTCATATATTATAAACCTGACACTAATATACACCCTGCATGACTGTAAACCAACTTAAAGAGCAAACACACTCCCTGAGAGCGCGGCAGGGCAGAGCACTAACTCGGGAGCTGGGCGGCCAGGTCTACTTCCAGCTCCCCCTTGGACGGCTGTCACCTTGGGTAAGCTACGTCGCCCTTCTGTACCTGAGTACACACTGCCATAAGATGACTATAGCAGCACCTACCTCCTCAGGTTGTCGTAGGCATTGGATGAGTGAATGTCGGCAATTGTTTAGAACAGCTCATGGCAAAAAGTAAAAAAGATGCGTAAGTGGATGTTGATTCAATAATGTAAAACCTAAGCGTGTAACTGTCACCATACTCAAAAGCATGTATGGCATATATAGTTAGTGTGTTTGATTCAGGGCAGGTCTGCATCTTAAACTTATTTATGGGCACTCAGTAAACACTGGTTGCTTTTATTTACAATGGGAATAAGATAACTGCAATAAAAACATAGGTTATCGGGCCACATAAGAGCAAGAACAAGAGTAGCACAGCAAAATTCTGAGTTGCTCGTGATGTGTGGATTACTGGTTAACTGCAGATATTTCTGGGACATTTTCTCTGCAAAGACGCTCTAAAGCAGGGGTGCCCAGCCTTTTGGAGTCTCTGAGACACACCGGAAGAAGAAGAGTTGTCTTGGACCACCCATTCAATAAACAAACACTAACAAAAACTGATGAATGAAAAAAAGGCTTTAAGTAAATTTACAGTTTTGTGTTGGGCCGCATCATAGCCATCCTGGGCCGCATGCGGCCCACCAGTCAGACACCCCTGCTCAGAAAAAGCGTTAGAAGTAAATACTTTGCCATAACTAAAATTTCTCTTTGGAAATTTGCTAGTTTGTCTGCCTAAAGATTATTATTAACACCTTACATAGTACTCTCAACATGAGAGCTCCCTCAGTGAGGACAGAATAAGATGTGTGAAAAGTACGGTTGGTGCGCTCTAATAAAAACTATCTTTAGCCCTGGCTGGTGTAGCTCAGTGGATTGAGTACAAGCTGTGAACCAAAGGGTCTCTGGTTCGATTCCCAGTCAGGGCATATGTCTGGGTTGTGGGCCAGGCCCCCAGTGGGGCCACATGAGAGGCAACCACATGTTGATGTTTCTCTCCCTTTCTCCCTCTCTTTCCCTCTCTCTATAAACAAATAATACCTTTTAAAATAAAACTATCTTTAAAGCATTTATGCCCCACTTAAAACCCTAAAAACTAAAAGGTTTTAGTTCCCATATAGCCAATAAACCGAGATATGAAAGTCTAATGAATGCCAGTCACTTGAAAGTGTATATACCCATTTCTCACCGGGTTTCTGCACTTGGCCCACCACTTCAAGTTGCTCTTGGTGAGAGTTGGCTGGGATCACCTCGCTTACCGTCCCGAATGGCTCCCATTCCACCCCAAACCACTTGCTCAGTTCCTGGTGGCCAAACGCATCTACATTGCATTAAAGTGCACAATTCCAAAAACATAGCAAGCTTACATGCGATTACAGAAACAAGTCAATTGTTTAAGAAATTAAGGGAACATCCAATATTTTCCGACAGCAAACAAATACGGCCTCTCCTTCAGAATACATTTTGGTGCTGAGATGGCTGTGCTCGGAGCCGAACCGCTGCCAGTCACTCTGACAGAAAGTGTCGGAGAGAAGACAGACTTATCTATAGGAAGACCAAAGAAACACCCAAGAAGGAGAGTTTTAACATATGACAAGCACAGTTTTAGCTGACTTAACCACAGAAACCGGGAATTCACTCGAGACTAGTAAGCCAAAGGCCTCCTGAGAGAAAGGAGTGAACCGGCCAACCATTCTTCCCATTCATGCTTCTGTTCTGGGAGCCAGAGCAAGGTTCTCACTGGTAGAAATCTTACGTTACTCTTTTAAAATACAGAGCCTTGGTTCAAGCGGTCAGGCAGCTTTTCTCGACATACCAACATTTACAATGAAACCACTTAAATGCATCACAAAATTCTGAAAAGAAAAATCAAACCCCATTACAATGCGAACCATTTAGACATTTTTTTAAAAAAGAATTCTTAAAAAGTTTCCTGGACACTAAAAAACAAAACAAAACAAAGGAAAACAAAGACTGACCCACTCGAAATGCTCGTGGTTTTCCTTTATTTAATCGTTCTTGCTCTCTGTGGTAGACCAGTACTTTCTGAAGCAGCGCCTGGGCTAAGACTTTTTTCCTTCTGTGAGTTGATTCTATAAGAGTTATGGCCTCTGCTAAGCAGGCCCTTTGCCCTTGGATTAAACCTGTATAAAGTTTATCCACAAATCTTTGTTCTTTATCAGAAAGTCCTTCTGTGTGTTCCTTTAAGGTTGCGTGTACGCATAATGGTCTCCGTAAACAACCTGACGGCAGCATCCGCTGTGCGCAGTGGAGTCCAGGGGAGTCCGATGGGCGGGCGCGGGGGCTCCCTGCCCCCAGACGGGCGCTTGGGCGAAAGATGCAGTGGTACCGTGGGAAAGGTGTTCTCAGAAGGCCTTTTAGGACACGCTGGTGAGGGTGTTGGAGCAGCAAGGGAATATTCATTTTGTCTGCAGCGGAAGAAAACACGGACGTTTCTTGGCGCAGTGTGACTTGTAGCTTCCTAAAAGAAAGACAAACATATTTTCCCCAGTTCAATACCCAACTGGGATACTGCGGTGGTAAAAAACTACGGGCTTTGTGTTCTCCCTGCGTTCTAAACACACATAATCAGGGTCCTTGCCAGTACAAACGAGTGAAAGTTTCTCACTAAACTTAAAAGGCCCCTCCTTGTCTACAGTTAATATTCAGAATAACCCAAATCATGAAACTCTACCGTGAAGAGCAGAGTAAATACTTATTTTCTCCTAAACAGAAAACAAATTCACAAAAAACCCACTAGGGTAGAAATTTTGTGTCGTGCTTAGTTTCTTCTGTCTACAGACCTTATATTCATCTTAACAATTTTCTCAGATCAAACATACCCTATTCTGAAGCTCACTCAAAATGTTTTTTAAAAGACCCCTCTGATGCTGGCCTTTTATTCATGACCTACCCCAGAGATGCGATTAGTTAGTAGTGCAGGCACATGAGGTTAAATGTAGACACAACGTGCATCCCACAGACTCGCCCTGGAGCAAAGACACACGCAGCGCACGGCCCAGCATAAGCTCACTAACAACATGCCTCCACGTGAAACGGACTGTGAGGACTGCACTCCAACCACACCAGTGTAACTCGAAGTGTGGTCGTGACCGCGTGGGTGCTTCTTAAAAACACATGTTCTTGGCCCCACAAACTGTAACTCTGCAGGTAAGCACACTCAAGTTTGAACCACTTTGGAACTGAGGATCCTTTCCTTTGACTTACTGACCTTCTCTACTTCAAGCTGTATTAGGCAATGAAAGCTAAGCATGCTGAGAGTCGGGAAAGTACAGAGGTTATGAGCCTTGGCGACTCTGAGCCTCTACCATATAAGGTGTCAGGACCTTGGGCATCTTACTTAACCACCCTGTGCTTCAACCTCCTCTTCTTAAGAGGACAGGTGAGAGCAGGTGAGAGAACAGGATGGCTGTGAGAACAAACGAGTTCATGGAAAAGCTAGGAACAGCACCGAGCACAGAGTAAGAGCTCAATAAATGGTAGCTTTTATTATTGTTATACCAATTTATAAAACTTCAGTAAAAATTAGATCAGAGACCTAGCTTTCAGTGGCAAACAAAAATTTACAAATGATATATATATATATCATAGGATGTATATGTATATATATACCCTACTAAGTTTGTTTGGGTTTATGATTATTTGAAAATTCTGGTTTTTAAGAACCTCTATGCACCATGCACTAAATTATTTTATTGCTGCAAAGTACCTCTCTAAATTGTATTTCAAAGCCAGTCAACGCAAATTAATTTTAGCTAAACAACATTCCATTACAAAAAAATAAATAAATAAGTTTTAACTTGTTATTAGAACCGAAACTGCTCATCATGTTTCTGCTTTGGGTGGGAGGGGAAAGTTATGACTTCTGTTTGTACAAAATTAGTCTTATTCTAAGAGGATAATGTTTAAAAATGTGTAAATATGTTTCTAACACACAATTTTAAAACATTCATTACTACTCTTCACACAAACACTCAAAAAGACATTTACAACTAACAAAGCACAATTGCTATGGTAAAAAAGAAACAACTTTAGAATTTTTACAACTTTAATGAGAAATATCTAATACCCATTCATGATTTAACTTTTATCTTTGTCCTCACCTATAACTTGCTTCCTTCTACATTTAGATTTCTTTATGAAAATCGAATTTGTTGAGCCCTTAATTTAACGAACTGGTTACTGAGAGCATCAGTATTGCATTCAACACATATTTATATGTCACTTTCTACGTTAGATATAAGATTAGCCTACACACTCAGAAACCTAGGAAGACGAATCATGTGCAATTTGAAGAAAGTGACGATCGTGTTTTAGCTGCGCTTCTGTGCACAGAGATTCTATCAGAATTGCCACCTTAATGGCTGGTAGCCATTTCAAAGCACGGAATATTTTTTTTTTAAAGATTTTATTTATTTATTTTTAGAGAGGGAAGGGAGGCGGGGGGGAGACAGAGAGAGAAGGAGATCGATCGATCAATGTGCGGTTGGTTGCTGGGGGCCGTGGCCTGCAACCCAGGCATGTGCCCTGACTGGGAATCGAACCAGGGATGCTTTGGTTCTCAGCCCGCGCTCAATCCACTGGGAAGATTTTTTTTAACCATGCTATATAATAAAAATTAGGTGTCCAAATGTATATCTTCCACTTTTTTGCCTGACAAACTCCTACTTAGTTCAAATATCACCTCTTCTAAGACACAGCTGTCCCCATCTCACCAGGGCAGTCAGATGTTCTATCTTCGGTGCTCCAAACCCCTTTAAGCACATCTCAGGGAGAGTCCTCGTCTCTTCCGCTCTCATTTACCTACTTACAGATCAGTCTCCACCAAGTCTCACCGCTCACGGCCGCTGACAACCCTCCCAGAGAAAGGGCAATACCTTATTCCTGATTTCCTCAGAATCTAGCACAATGCTTGACACATGGCAACCTGTTAGTAATTTTTGTTAAAGGCTCATGAACAGATACTCTATCTACCTTATGTTGTTCTACACAGAAAAGTTTGAGTAATAATTTTAACCTAAGAATCCTGACTAAAAAATTCTACCATCTAAGCTCCCTGTTTTGAATCAAAGTGTCTTTGACACCTAACTAATTTTCCAAAACAGAAAGGTAAGTTTGTAAGGAATCAAAACCCAGTAAGGATGAAAGAGGATGAAAGTATATCCTCTTATAACACAAGCAAATAACACTCCCTAAATAAATGAGATGAATAACAATCATTTAATAGTTTATAGACTGCCCCAACATTTAAAATAGTGATTTCTTACAATTGCAGTCTTTCTCAGAAAAATCCAGGTCAACTCCCTGACAAGTGAAGTTCTCTGCCCTTTGATGCCAATACAAATCTTAAAAGGTCTTCAGGTGAAAAGAGCCAGGAAAAGGATGGTATCATTTTATTCCACTCTTTTGCCAAAATCAAAAAACTAGCCAGATGTACGCAACTCTAAGTTTCTAAACCTTCACACCTCTGCCTGGGGGCTGATTTTCTTGGCACGCCCAAACTTCGTGGACCCTTGGAATGGCAGGGCAGCAGCTGTTACCTTCCACTGAATGTTGACTACGTGTGAGATGTTGTGCATGCACTTCCTCAGCTAAGCCTCACGACGCAGGTGAGATTCTACTTTACGGGTGAAGCTCAGGAAGGTTACATTTACTGACCTAGGTTTCACAACTAGTGGCAGAACTTGGGAAAAATCTATGGCTTTCAGCCTAGATTATTTTATAAACAGAGGAGCAGTGTCGTGTCACATCAAAGGAACACCAAATAACCCTCTGCATTCGAATAACGATGAGGGTGGGCTGTCTATCTTCATTATCTTGATCTTTTTCTTCCTCCTTTCTTCCCTCCCTCCCTTTCTCCTTCCCTCCCCTCCCCCTTTCCCCTCCTTCCTCCCTCCCTCCCTCCCTTCACTCCCTTCACTCCCTTCATTCCTTTCTTTCTCTCACTTAGAGCAAATGAAAAATTAGTTTGGATACCCGCTGGGGTAGGGGGAGGGGGAGGGACTGAGCAAAAAGGAGAAAGGACTCATGGACAAGGACAACAGTGTGGTGATTGCTGAGAGGTGGAGGATACACAGGAACTAAATGGTAATGGAAAACATACAATAAAGATTAAGTTTTAAAAAATTATTTTACGTTTTCTGTGCAAACCTTATCAGTAAGAGATTCCAATAATGTATTAGGTGGCAGAGCAAGTTTCTAAAACTTTTTAAAATATTTTTTGCCCCAGAGAATAATTCATACCTGAAAACCAAGTACATAACATATTTAAACGAATTAACCAATCGAACAGATTTTAGAGGAGTCTACACATTTTTAAAAAGGCAATATAACTCAGCCTTGTCAAGCAGTTCTGTGCCCTTATGTATGTCACAGGCACAACAGACTGCGTCTACTGCAGTGGCAAAGTCACACAGGTAGGAGAAGGGCTTCCCACCTGCCTGTGTAACTCAGCATCTTTTCCTCACGGGCAGAAATCAAAGAACTTGGCCAATCATCAAATCAAACAATTTCCACGGATTTCCAGGATTCCCGGGAGTATAGTGTCATCCTGTGGTTTTAACCTGCACATTTACAACATTCAGTTAGAGACCTCAAAGCACCGCCATTCCCGATGAACCAGAACGTCTATGTACTGACACACGATGGAACACATCAAGTGGGCAGAAATCCTGAAGTGCGTTAGTAAGTGCATCCCCTCCTCTGCAAAAGGTTCACACGGACACCAGCGTTTTAAGGCTCACATTTGTTTTCCTCCAAAATATCGCTGATACCCATTCCCTCCTCTCCAACCTCATTCCCACGTTTCTCTAATGGCTTTCAAGCTTTGAGTGCAGTCCATGGGGAGAAACACACTCACATCAGTGAAAACACAGACATGTAACCGCAAAAAGTTTCACAAAACACCACATACCCCTATTACATGTGACACCCTCTAATCCTGATTTCCTATTCATTTTTTTCATGTAGATTGCAACCTACCAACAGGTACAACCTTAGTGAAAAACCCCAATCTACTATAGTCATCGCTATGATCATTATTCTTCCGTACAAGGGGAAGGATAAGATACATTTATCTTATCCTCATAAGATATAAATCTGATTGTATTACTTACTCCTCTGCTTAAAATATTTTAAAAGTTCCCTCCACCTCATCTGTAAAAAATGCTTTTCTATGACTCAGCCATTCATTCACTAACTATTTATTGAGAACCTACTACATGGTAGGCACAGTGCTAGGCCCTGGAATACACTGGTATACGGGCCCCACATGGCTCCTAACATCGTGAAGTTCACGATCCAGCCGAGACAGCCATCACATAAAAATTTCATATGCTTTTTTGAGTGCTCTTATCCACCTCTCCTCCACTTTTACCACATCGCTGTAACTATTCTGACCTGCACGGAGGCCCTGGAAAAAGCCATACTCTTTCAAACATCTTGGCCATTGTCCTTGAAGTTTCTTCTGATTGGAATGTCCTTATCTCCTTTACTCATCTCGCAAATCCCCCCTCAGCCCCCAAGCATCAACTCAAGGGTCTCCTCCTCTGGAACAGTACCCTGGAGTCCTTTCCATGCCTCTTCAGCTGTCACTCCTGTCTCCTGTCACCATGGACTGGTCTCATCCATCCGTTATAGTAATGATCACACTGTTTTGTGATCACTTTTTAAAATGTCAGTCTTGCCTAGACTACGACTTATCTTTATACCCACATCAAACTTTATTGCTCACTGAATAAAGGAGTGTGTGCTGTATTTTGTATGGGTCAATAACTCCATCATGCTGGTTATTCCGTGAATCAATGTTTGAAAACACACATCTTCTAGATTTTAAAGTAAATATGTATTTATTTTAAGGACTTTCTTTTTAAAGTCTGATTTCAATATATGGATGTTTCCCTTCATTAAAAATCTGCTCAGCAGCAGCTGGTCTGACTCGGGATATTTGTCTTGAAATTGATCCAGTGAATATTTTCAATTTCAGTAACTCCTCTGGCAAGAAAAAGCACACAGGATTTCCAAAATCAATACATTAGGTCAGTGTCCGCGGCGCAGTGCAGTTCATATAGACAGTGCAGCGTTACACCATGTGTTTCTATTTCCCAATGCTAATTGCTTTTGATTTAAAGATAAGCTCTCAGATGTCACTAACCTGTTTAGCATCTCCCGCCACCCCCATAGAAGGCTTTACTTTCTCCTCTTCAAATAATTTCAGGAAATTTTGGTAGAGCAGGATGACTTTTTAAACAAGCAGCTTTTAAATGGGTCATTGTTATATAAGAGCAATGCAGAACACACGGTGAATTCATGCACGGAGCATTCTCGGGTTCCCTGTCCACATTACCTTTTTTTCACTTTTGCAGCTAAGACTCAGATTTCCCAATTTTACTTTCAGGTTTCAATCTACTTGGGAAGTCTCCATTTTTCTAAATTCCATCACCATTGAATGTTTTCGTTTCTACTGCTACTACCCTAGTCCAAATCTGAACTAGTCTTAGGAAGCTGAGACTAGCCTAGCTCTGAGGCCTGGGATATCTCTACTACTCTCCATATAAAAATATTAAGACCAACACATCAAGGTCACAGTGAGTATGAAATGAAATCCTGTGCATGAGTGAGCCCGGCAGAGGGCCTGGCATCCAGCAGGTGCTAATTAACTATAAGGAAACCTCTCTCTCTCTCTCTCTATCTCTCTATCTCTATCTCTATTCTTCCACCTTGGACTTCATAGCAAGACTCATGCTGAACCGTGAATGTGATCCATCTCCTTAGTAACCATCTCAAATTCCTCCAACAGTTCCCCACACCCTGGGTCAGTGATTCTCCAAGTGTGGTCCCCAGACCAGCTGCATCAGCATCAACTGAGAACTGATGAGAAAAAGAAATTCTCAGGCCCCACCCCAGACCTTCTGAATCAGAAATGCTGGAGGGGCCAGCAATCTCTTGTCATAAGCCTTCCAGATGCCTCTGATACAGGTTCAAGTTTTAGAACCAGTGACCTAGAATGAAGTCCAGTCTGGTATTGTAAGGTTTCCCAAACCAGTTTTCTTCCACTTACTGTACTTGCTTTCTCAGACCCACTTCCTCTAACGAAAGTTTACTCATAATGTCCGTTTACTTTCCCAACCGGATTCTACTCATCTGTTATGTCCTGCCCCCTTGAAAACACCTCTCCTATTTGACCCAGCTCAAACCTCACTGTTTTCTTAAATGCTTACCTGACCACCAGTGTCCAGGAATTTTTTCCTCTTTCAATTCCAATTATTTCTGAATACCCCGGGCATAATCTGCAGAAGTCACAAACTGCCTATTCCCAGGCCACAGAGGGTGTGGGTAAACTGGTTGCCAATAATATTTACAATTTTTTTTAGCCCTGGCCAGTGTGGCCCAGTATGTTGGGCATTGTCTGGCAAGGCAAAAGGTCACTGATTCAATCCCCAGTCAAGGCACACGCCTGGGTTGCGGGTTTGGTCCACCATATGAGAGGCAACTGATTGATGTTTCTCTCCCTCAATTTCTCCCTCCCTTGCCCTCTCTCAAAAAAAAAAAAAAAGAGGATTTGAAATCACATAAAAATATGGATTTTCCAGCCTGTGTTGGAGAAAATCAAATCTGTGTGAGGGACCCACATTCCCACATGAGGATAATGGGCTGGGAAGCAAATGTTTCAAGCACTCACCAGCACTTTCCAATGACAAATACAGGTTTGCATTAGATATCTTTTAATATCTAAAACCGTGATTTCCGTTTCTTACAGTTATGCAACTTTCCATGTGTTTATTTTGTTTCTAATAGAATACTGGCCTTCAAAGAACTGAACTTTTCCAGTTTTTCTTTTCACTCTTATTACATTGAACAAAAAATGTTAAGTGTTTACTACATCCTGGACAACGACCCCAAGATGACTTAGAATCTGCACAGACCTTCATGGTTTTCTACCAACTTGGAAAAGTTATAGTCTATTTTTTATTTTGTCTCCAAGGTACAGATACTAGGAGATACAACTCTTAACAAAAGTAATAAAGTAAGAAATATCATTTAGCTTAGGTTGTCTTTCAATTTCTAATGAGAAATACAGACTCAGCCCATGCCTGGGCACAGTATTTGACAGACCTAGACACTGTTTAAACGCTATTACATATTGGGTTTTATTCTACAGAAGATGAGTTTTAATTTCACTTCTTGGCAGTAGCTACACTGGACTACCTTGCTTTTCATAGTCCCAAGTTATAGTTAACCATTCGCGGGTTTGGCAGAGGCATGGGGCAAGTCGCCTTGCTTGGCACAACGGTAATCTCACATAGTCGCCCAAAGCGATGAAAATTGGCAAACCCCGTTTTCAAAGCATTTCCTTCTTAAGGAGAATAACAACGAACCTTCCCTTTCATCCCATTTTGCTGACGCTTGCCAGTCCTCACATCCCACATACCCAACATCACCCAATTCAATGGTCTTCTCTTCCTTCCCCGCCCCCCAATCCTTCAGGGGGCGCCCCTGGAGCTGAGGTGCCTCCCTCCCCACCCACGGCGCCCAAGGCGGGAGCCTGGCGCCCATTCTGGACGCAGCACACAACCCCCACCCCAAACTCACCCTCCAAGGCCAAGGAAGTGCAGCTCCACCTCGCCCCACCCCTTCCGCCGGCCAGGTTCGCCCCGCCCCGCGCTTGCCGCGGCGCGCAGGCGCAGCGCCCACTGTCAGGCCCTGGGGCCCGAGTGGTGGCGGCAGGGGGTGTGGCATGGGGCCGGGCGGACTGGGCTGGGGAAGTGCGACCTGCGGCGGGTGGCGCGTGAACATTCTGGCAAGCGGGGCTGCTGTGGGCTGCTGGGACGTTGTCGCGAGGTCAAGCGGCGGAGGGCGGCTAACGGCCTTTTGGCTAGCTTCTGCTTTTCTCCAGGTCCGGAATGGATCTCTCGCCCGCAAAGTTTGAGGGTAATCTCCCCCTACTCCCGGCCTTGGCGCTTCGCGAAGCCAGGGAGGTGGAGCCCGAGTCCTGCCCGGGGCTCTGCCTGCGCCGACCTCCTCCTCCCGCCCCAGCGATCTTCAGGTGCGGGGATCGGGGGCGAGACCGGGGACGTTTGACAAGCTGGTGAGGTTACGAAGACTAAAACTCCGCAAAGCAATTTCCAGCCTGCTGGAATAAAATGCTCAACGTTCAGCCGAAATAATAGCTCAAGTTTTTAAACCATGGCGTGGTTTTTAAAGGCTGAAGGTCTCGCAGTTTTTTTCTTTGAAAATTCACCCTTTCGGACCTGCACTCACCTTAGGAAAGTCACCTGGCGTGGGGGCGGGGGTCCGAAAGACTCTCTCCTGAAACAGATGAAAACGAGCATGCTTAAATATTTGCTACCTCACTGCAAGGCAAAATGGTAACTAATGTTTTGAAAACCTGTCCGATTATGTAATAAGAAGTAACACTTGAGTTCCAGTATTTTTAGGAAAAACTGAAAGTCTCCAAAATGTTTTGTGTAATGGAAGGGTGACAGCATCAATGGGCAATGACAAGAATCAGTTTATGGCGAACAGGAAGTCGTGGGGGATAGATTATAATTACTATCTGGAACCAAGACCCCAATCCCCACATACGATTTGCATAATTGCGTACATGTGTGAAGGGTTAGGCCTTAGTTACTTGATATAGATTGATTCTTAATCTAGAAGAATGACAAATTTTCCTAGGGTCTTCACTATTATTTAGACTAAAATGCCACCACTTTTACCCCAGAGTAATCGTAGACCCAAGAATAGTCCATTGCAAAACGTTAAGTCCAAAGGAAGCAGTAAGTCTCGTGGAAACATGGAAGCATTTGGACCTGGTTTCAAATCTCAGCCCCTGAGCACAGTCAATACCGCACGGATAGAATTTGGGAGAAGTTAGTGCATTCCTTAAGCTGGGGTTGCTTATCTGTACAATTGAGCGTTTGGGGTTGTTTTTGGTAGGTGTTAAATTTCATGAAAGCTCAATTTGTATAATCTAAGGAAATGAGGAAGTGTGTTAATTTAAAAAGGTTTTTTAATCCTTACCTGCTTTTTAATCTGTGCATTCTTTTTTTAAAGATTTTATTTATTTATTTATTTTTATTATTTTTATTTTTTTTAAGATTTTTTTTTATTTATAGAGGGAAGGGAGGGAGATAGAGAGAGAGAAACATCAATGTGCGGTTGTCATGGCCTGCTATGCATGCATGTACTCTGACTAGGAATCGAACCTGCGACACTTTAGTTCGCAGCCTGCGCTCAATCCACTGAGCTACACCAGCCAGGGCTTCAATCTATGCATTCTTAAACACTTCAGTGAATTTCCCTTTTTTTTTCTTGTACAAGTGTTCCCTAAACTGTGTTCTATAGAACATTAGTCCTTTGCAAAATGTTAATAGGTGTTTTGATGGAAAATTTTTAACATCCATATTGGGGAAAACACAAACTTACGAGGTTATTGGAAGTACACCTTTGTAGTATTCTTGTCAAAGAAACATTTAGCCTGAATCTGTGAAGGAAACATAAATTTAGAGTGTGATTTATTTGGACTTTTCAATAATATCAATATCATGGAAGACAATGAAAGAAGAAAGGACTGATCTCCATTAAGGCACCTGTGAACTGTATAGGGTTATGGATTTTACAGGACATTTTGTGGGCAACTGGGGAAATTTGAACATGAAAATGTAATAGATATATTGGTGACTTAAATTTTTCAGATACAATCATGATACTGTCTGCGGTTATTAGATGGATGCTTTTGTTCTTAGGAGATGTATGCTTAAGTATTCAGGGGTGAGCAGACTTCTTTCAGAGTGTCCAAGCCAAAAAAAGGAAGTGTATATGTAGAGTGAATGGCACTATGTTAATTGTGGTTCTAGGTGAATAATACAGTTGGCCCTTGAACAATACAGGGGTTAGGTGTGCTGACCCCCTGCACAGTTGAAAATGTAACTTGTGATTCCCCCAAAACCTAAATACTAATAGCCTAATTGACCAGAACCCCTACTGGTAACATAAACAATCAGTTAACACATCTAATACTGATTTCTTTCAGGTCCAAAAGTACCTACGTTATGTTTTGTTTTACATGATAGGCAAAGTTTTATAACTTCTAAGGTCATCATTCTTGCCCTTTAAGGATGCTAGAAACCCATTTCTGCTTCCCAGCAGATGGCAGCAAATCAATACTCTGTAAGGTGCAATAAAATTGTAATTTTCTTGTCCTGGTAAATGTTCTGTGGGTTACAAATTGTGGCTTTTTTTTTTTTTTTTTGCTAGAAGAGCAAAAAGAATGTTGCTGCCAGTTGTAGAAATTTACGTCAACTTATTAACTAGTTAGGTGAGTGTTTTTAATTTATGTGACTGAATTTTATTACATAGTTACACATATTAAGATTGTTCTTCATTGCTTGCCTGTCACAGAACCAAAAGTTCATTTGTAAGCAATTCTGTTGGAATGTCAATAATGCTCATAAGTTACCTCCATAGGTAAACAGTACTCTCCATAGCCACTAATTGGCTAATAATACCCATTAACACACAACATTTCAAAATTTATGGGATACAGATAAAGTATTCTTGGAGGAGAATTTACAGCTTTTTCATTACTGTATTAGGAAAGAATTTGACTCAATGATCTAAGTCAAAGTCAGCAAAAAGATCCACGGGCCATGTGTGGGGCACAGCATGCTTTCTGCAGCCTAAAAGCTCTTACTTAACAAAACAAACTTAAAAATAAAGAAGCAGATGACCAGTAACTGGAATGAAAGCTCACTGAAGGTCGTACAGACATTCAAACAGTGGCTGTCAACCAGAGGCGTCATGTCCCCAAGGAACATTTGGCAATGTCTAGAGACATTTGTGGTTGTCGGGATTGAGGAGGCTGCTATCAGCACCTAGTGGGAAGAGGCCAGAATGCCGCTGAACGCTGTTCTCCAGTGCCCCGGACGGTCCCCACAGCAGCTTTCTGGCCCCAAATGGCACTAGTTCCGAGGGCGAAAAATTCTAATTAAAACCGTAAAAGGGAAATATTACAAACAAATTTAGGTCAATAAAATTTGATAACTTAGAAGAAGTGGAAAAATTCCTTGAAAAAAAACCCATAACAACTGACTGAAGAAGAAATAGAAAATCTAAGTAGTTGTGCATCTAGTAGAGAATTTGAATTTATAAGTGAAAACCACTTTACAAAACAAAGTCCAGGCCCAGATGACTTCACTAGTGAATTCTATCGGTATTTAAAGAACACAATGTCAACCTTACAGAAATTGAGAAAATTGAGGAGGGGAATATTATCCAATTAATCGTATAACAGCATAGCCCTACTAGAAATATCTGACAAAGGCATTAGAAAAAAAATCAAAGACCAATATCAATGAATATAGAGGGGAAAATCCTATACAAAATCCTAGCAAATGGAACATAGCAATATAGAGAAAGGATAAAGTACAACGGCCAATTGGGGCTTTCCGCAGAACATAAGGTTTGCCCAACATCTAATAAACAGTGTAACTTACCATATTAATAAAGGGGGAAACATCATGCTACTGCAATAAATTCAGCAAAAGCATGACACATTTATTGCCAGTTTATGGAGAAAACAATCATAAAACTAGACCTAACAGAAAACTTCATCTTACAAAGGACATCTGCAAAGACCAACAGCCAGCTACTTTGTGGTGAAACTCTCGAATCCTAGGGCTTGGAAGAGGGTGAGAAGGTCTGTTCTCGCCACTTTCGTTTAACTCGACAGAGGTTCTAGGTAGCAGTAGGCAAAAGATAATTAAAAGGTGAAAAGATTAGAAAGAAAGTAGAACTATTCACTATTGTCTGTGTAGAAAGTCTTTTTTAAAAAAATATTTTCTTGAGATTCATAGATTAATCTAGATTAATTGTCTTTTTTTAAAAGATTTTATTTATTTTTATAGAGGGAAGGGAGGGAGATAGAGAGAGAGAGAGAAACATCAATGTGCGGTTGCTGGGGGGTCATGGCCTGCAACCCAGGCATGTGCCCTGACTGGGAATCGAACCTGTGACACTTTGGTTCGCAGCCTGCGCTCAGTCCACTGAACTACGCCGGCCAGGGCTGATTAATTGTCTTTAGATTAATAGGTTGTCCATGTAGCAAATCTTTTAAATCTACTAGAATTAATCATTGAAATTAGCCCTCAGGATAAAAGATCAGTATATAAAAATCAATATTTTTATGTATTAGCAAGCAGCAATGAGAAAGTAAAATTTTAAAATAGACCATTTATAATAGTACTCTAAATACTTAGGAATTTAATGAAAGACACGAAGGAGCTATACTCAGAAACTGCAAATCATTGCTGAAGTGAAAGATCTAAATAAACGGAGAGATACACCGCATTCACGCACACAGGACGTGGACCAAGAAAGCGTATTCTGGGCTAAACAAGTCTCAATAAGGATTCAGATCATACAAAATATGTTCTCTGGCCACAATGAAATTAAAATAGAATCCATTAAGAGGTTTCTGGAAAATCCCCAAATTTTAATCATCGAGGGCATGGGTTGTTTAGACTGCTGGCCTGAGTTCAGGTTGACACCAAAGACGTTTCCCTTCTCTGCAGAGCCAGTTGGATTGCAATGGACTTGACCGTGGCCGTGTTAACGCCACATTCTGACCAACCGCACCAATCGGGCACTGCCCTGGGCCTGGGGTGTGGTGGGGGCCACCGCAGATGGCTGTGAGGGACTTGAATGTCGCACTGAAACAGAGCATATTTGGAATTGATGAAGTCGTTCCCATGTCTTTTTTTTCTTCCCATCAAAGTCTGAAAAAATACTGATGAAAATTCTGGGAACAAGACTGTGGGTGTAGTTGACAAAACAGAAAATCTGTTCCTGGACAGCCGTTGATGAATTTAATAAGTAGGAAGATAATGAGCACAGACTATATTTGCATAATGACATAACAAAAATTCATTAAACGATGCTAACTGGGAAAACTGCAGTTTGGAAACTGAATGCAAGATTCTGGTTCTGGCACTATTACCCATTCTATTTAGTGATGATGGATGGGTTTAGGGGGAGAAATAACCCCGCATGCTCTATTCTCACTGATTTTAAATATCGTACCTTCCATCTTATTTTTCCTAAGAGAATCATTACAATTCATTTTCAGCTAGAATTTCTAACATCCAGATTTGTCCTAAGTGTAGCTCTTCGAAGGATTCATAAAATTATACTTTCCTCTTCAATAGAACTTGGAGATGATTTAAGACTATAAATCATTTTTAATGCTAAAGAGTTTTTTCCACCCTTGAAAAGGATTTTAAGTTGTTTTCTCCCTTTAAGTATTTACTTGACTGTCAATTATGGTTAATTTAGCCAGAGAATGTTCTGATTTTACTTTGTAAGTACGGTTTAGAAGACTGTTCTTGTGAGAAGTGTTCTTCCCTTTTTCTAAAAAAATAAAGTATTGTGTATGTGTGTAATATCTACATTTTGCAGTTTCTAACATCAGACTGCTTCTGATCATGCTGAAAATAATTAACCATTTTGATGTAATTCTCCAAAACCCAAAGGAAGTCTTCTTTTCTGATATTCTTTCCGCTCTGGGTTTTAACATAAAAGGAAAACAGAATAAGGTGGTTCGTTAACAGTTTATCATAGCTGATACTATAAAACTATTTGATGGCCATTGTGATATTATCATAATATTAGTCATTCCTCTCAACCTCCCTGTGAGATAGACAATCCTGGAGTCCTCGTACTTCCGAGGAAACCGGCCTCAGGGAGATTAACCCATGTGCCCAAGTTCATAGAGGTGAGTGGGAGAGGGGGGGTTTGAGTTCATTTATGTAATGGAACTCCAGTGTCCGCACATTTAATCATTGGTGTTTACTAGCTCCCATTTTGCTGTGCCTTTACTAAAGTAACAGGATTATTTCAGATTCCCCCACTTTTTATGACCTCTCTAATTTCAGTGTTCTCTCTATAGTGGAAAATGCGATATAATGGCAGCCTGTCTTAATATATGCAGCGATTTTCCAGTGTGATGCACAATTTCAACCACATGATGGTGCCAATGAGGTGGGAAGCCTTGAGCTTCTGGTGTGACATTAGGTTCAAGCCTAAATATAAATGTCAACAGAATGTAATTAGAGGCATTAAGAAATAAGATTTTTTTAAGCAGCCACAAAGAATTAGTCTAGAGGATTTTTTTAAAACACAAACAATGAGAAGACTGCAACTATAAAAAGGGAAGAGTAATTGACTCATGAAAATTTAAAAGATAAAAGATGAGCCTTTGTATTTATAAAGAAGTATGTGGGACAGATGTCAGATACTTCCCACAGGAAGGAAAATACCAAAGGAAATGAACTAAATGAGAGCAGGTGACTTACCCCAAAAAAAAGCAAGAGAGGCCAGCTGCACAGTGATGCAGCTCCAGGGTCGAATGGAGATGTGTTCCAGTAGGATTCCACAGTAAGAACGAGTGGGTGAGCAAGGGCCAGGGACTAAAGGATTGTAGAGAGCCTTTTAGTAGACATCACTACTTCCTTTTCCAACCAGGATAAACACTACTAGTGCTTTTCCCTGCAATATCAAAGATACAGCCTACTGAGGAAGGAAAAGCACTGTTTGTTGGAAAATTACCGAAACACATTCTTACACATTCAGCCAATTACAGTGATTTCAGGGACTATCAAAATGATGGTAGAAGAGCAAGCAAAAGCTCTTCCCTGAGCTGAGGTGAAAAGCAATGCAATATATTTTTTGTTACATTTGGTGATGAACTTTTATTTCAAAAATAGAAGGAAAGAAATTTTAGGAACAAACATCCAAGTATGAGCAGTTGCCTTGAAGCATATTCAATGTTTATCAAATCCTCTGTGTATTTCTACTGAACTTGGAAAGAGTCGCTTTGGGCTCAGATGGCCAATATTCAACTGTTTATGATAAATATTCTTGGTCCTATTTACGGTACATCAAATTCAAACATGTTTGTTTCTTTTCAATTTCACAAGAAAGGAAGACAAGACTGAACTGCCGAATGTTGCTTTCTTGAATTTAGGCACTATTTCAGCTTCTTAGGATAAATGAAAAAAAAAAGTCTATTTAAGTAAAAGAACTCCAGTGGCTATCTTAGCCCGTGTCCATACTGATAAAATCAGAAGGTGTGGGTTCATTTCCCCTGACAATTTCCTATCTTACTTTGACAGCTCTTGGGAATATCAACCAATTTTTTGAAAATGGTTTATTATAGCCCTGGCTGGCATAGCTCAGTGGATTGAGCTCGGGCTGTGGACCAAAGCATCGCAGGTTCGATTCCCAGTCAGGGCACATGTCTGGGTTGCAGGCCATGGCCCCCAGCAACTGCACATTGATGTTTCTTTCTCCCTCCCTTCCCTCTCTAAAAATAAATAAATAAAATCTTTAAAAAAGAAATAAAATCTTAAAAAATATAAGTGAATATGTATTTAAAAAATGGTTTATTATAAACCTTGAAATAACCATTTTCTACCTCCTACTCTAAATCATCATTTCTCTCAAAGGATAGTTGATAAGGTGCCTCCCAAGTACCTCATCAGTATTAATGCAAACTGCCGACTGGAAAGCTACCCCAGAGCTGGTGGCTTCAAGAAGAAAGCCTGCTGGACACCCCGGCAGGTGTGCTGGGGCTACCACCCGGGAGCAGACTGCTCCATCCAGGGCCAGCCGACGGCCTCAGGGTGCTGATTTGATTTATAACCTCTTAAGTAAAGACTCACATTAGGCACACTCTTGGAGACCAATGTGTGTGTGTGACCAGAATGCCAATTTATTGATTGGTTATAAAAACGTAATGTGTACTCACCAATAATTCTCTCTATAGGCAAGTTTCCATTTAAGGCCAAATTTCAATCAGAAGAGATGATACTAGTGGTTAGTGTCATCTAGTATCATAGATGTACCCTTGACACCTAGAGGATCTTACTAACCAATGTCACCTCAGTAAGTTTAATTTTTAAAAATCTGCAATGCCTGATACACCAGTTCCATTTCAGGCTTTTATAGCTTCTACATTGCTGATCACCAGTTGTGAATACACACACACACACACACACACACACACACACACAGGATAAAACATTCAATCAGATTATAGTCGAGTATTGTCCAGCAAGGGTGTATTTCTTACCCCAGGGTGCTCTTGCATTATTGATGAAATGATGCTTCATAAGCTTTTTAAATAGTTTAGTGTTTACCTGTATTTTTCTCTTTTCATATTTGGAGGAACATCTTGACTTGGAACAAAAGCTGCGTGAGAACAGAAACCTGGTTTGTCTCGTTCACAGCCACCCCAGAGCCTAGAACAGCACCTGCAACACAGTCCGCACTAACAGTAACTACAGAATGAACCAGTGGACCTTGTCTCAGGGCCTTCCTACGAGACACGGATGTTATTATAAAAAAAAGGCTATGGACAAACAACCCATGGATTGTTCCCCTTTCTGAGGATATCAGAGGAAATTGCTCAAAAGCCCTTGCCTTTGGCCTACCAATTTCAATCAGACCTCCCCACACCCACCCAGCACTTTATTACTCTCTTTCTTCTTTGTTTTCCTTCAGCATTTTCAGAATGGTTTGCAGCTTATTTGTATTTGTTTATTTCAAGTCTGAATCGTGAGCTCCAGAAGGCAGGGACTGTGTCTGTTTTATGTAGAGACAATATCTACAGCCTACGCTATGATGTGGGCTTCACGATATTGACTAAAATTCACCTTGAATTTTATGAGCCAGAACTACCCTGAAGTCATAGGAGAAATGACTGATGACTTGGGGACTGTGGATATCAGGCTAGTTGGGTGATGAGCTATTTTCGAGGGTAGGCAGCTACCCCAACACCCTGAAATCATAGCCCATGGGGCGTGCTGCTCACAGACAGACCAGGGATCGCTGCTGTTCCCCAGGCTGTCTGCAGCAGGAAGGAGCAAGAAGACAGTTAAGTTCACGTTCATCTTGTAATTTGAAGGTTCAGATTAGTTTATGAGCCATGGCTGGTGTGGCTCAGAGGACTTTCAGCCTGTGAACTGAAAGTCTGCTGGTTCGATTCGCAGTCAGGGCACATGCCTGGCTTGTGGGCCAGGTCCCCATTTGGGGGCGTGTGAGAGGCAACTGCTGGATGTATCACTCACACGTCCGTGTTTCCCTCCCTCCCTTTCTCTCTCCCTTCTTCTCTCTCTAAAAATAAATAAAATCTTTTTAAAATAATTGTATTTTATAGAAATCACTGTGTTCCTAAAAAAGTTGTTCATCTCAGCTAACATTCAGTTAATGGAGTGCTTTGCCTTGACTATTGAATTTTATGTATTGAAATGCTGTGTACACCTGTTAATTTTACGTTTGTGTTGTGAATTATGATAGCCAATTCACAGAGCAAAATCAGGTGCTGAAAGGCAGTTGGTTACGTGTAAAAGGAGCGGTGAAAATGGTCATGCAAATGTAACAGAACAACAGTGTAGGTGTAAACCGGGACCCAGGGTCCAGTGTGGATATCAAATGTGAAGTTGCATGTGCCAGACCAAGTGGATCTTGATGAATATGTGAAAATTGGATTTTATCAGAACAGCAATCAATTTGCCTCTAGTTTCTATTGCATTGTCTCTTACGAAACTTTGTTAAGGAATGGCAAGAAGCCACAGGAGCTTTTGCATTGCTTTCAAAGGACTGTGACCTTTCTGATAAACCAATTGAGTTTTTCCTGAACAAGCACAAAATAATGCTTCCTAATAGGAAATGGATACATTTTGTCATTTGAAGGTGGAGAAGAGACCAAAACTAAAGAAACATTATTCAGAGTTGTATACCCCCCACACACACAAATAGACGTCATATTCCTGTTAAAAGTTTAAAAATCCAGCCATAAGGTTAATGAATAATTACCGTGCTCAGGAAGAAACTTTAGCTACTTGGAGTCTCACAGTCCATGTGGACTGTGGTACATCATAGGATGTTAACAGCACATAACCCAGAAGGGCAGTGTCTGTCACAATTGCACACGAGCAGGCATTTGCTTACATTGGGAAGGAATCACTGATGTGCAGAGCGACAGTCAACACTTGGCAGGAATATAAGAAAGGGAAACGCTCAGTGACTTACTGGTTAGTTTACGGCTCCAGCCCCATGCTAGAGGAGATTTTTCATGTAGTTGGCAATTATTCTGTGAGCCATGATGTAGGCTGGAAAGACTGCCAGCAACAGTGATGCATTCAATGAGGAAGCCTACTTGTTTGGAAAGAGCCGTTGTCCCTCTACGCATTGTTTCATCCCTGGAACGTTTTTGGTGAAAGTAGTTAATACATTTACATTGTGGTCAACGAGTGAGTGTTTTAAGCATGCTTGGTGAGGAAATTGGCAGTAAGTAAAAGCCTTGTGGGCCACACAGAAGTAAACTGTTTCTTGAGGTGAACGTGTTTCAACAAGCTTTTAAAATTAGGGATGGGATAAAAGCATTTCTTCACCCTACTAGTAGCGCCGACTTTTTTTAAAGTAGGTTTCTCAAGTAGCCTATTTCAGTGATGTATGTATATTTTAGTGGCCTCTGTCTATTGGGTCAGAGAATGCATTTTATTATTCTAAATACTGTGTCTATTAGAATTTCTGAAGACCAAGCTATGGTACAAATATCTTAACCAACATGTTTGATTTTGACACCTGACGTTTTTTCACTCATTGGAGAAATCCAAGACAGTATGGAATGTGCTTATATGTCATATCCCCAAAAATAAACAAACAGAGAAATTAATCCAAATGCTGTCCCCAACACTGGAGAGAAACACTTTCCAGAGCCAAGTGAACTCAAAGCGGCGTAGGACCCCCCTTACCGTCATCTCTGAGGTTGAAACAGAGGACATTCCGCCTATTGTGGCCTGTTTTATTCTAGGGCCTGACTTGGTGCTGAGAGAGAACTGGTTATGCCGTGTATTTTAGAATTATCAGACCGATTCCTGAACAACTTTACCAATCCCGATGGCCAGTGATCACGGTCAGGCCTTCCGCTCTCAGCAGAAATGGAGTCGCGGAAGGAAGCGGACCGGATGTGGGCTCTAACCTGCGCCTCGAGCTGCCTGTCTCTTACCAGGGTACAGACACCTCGGCAAATGGTTACAAACAGCATCATCCCTTTCACTGATACGAAGTGTTAATAATTATTATTAACTGAAAACTACTGTGTTTTAGAGGAACCTGGAAAACATTACGCTCCGTAAAATAAGCCTGACACAAAAGGACAAATATTGTAGGATTCCATGGAGATGAATTACCTAGAACAATCAGCTTCAGAGACAGAAAGTAAAATAGAATTTACGGGGTGCTGAGGGTGAGAAACAGTTTTGAGAGACTGAGCTCTTAACCTTTGGGATCTTATCCCAGCTCGAGGTTAGTGTCAGAAAGGAGTTAAATTTTAGGACATCCAACTGGTGTCAGAGAATGGCTTGGTGGTGGGAAGGAAAAAATCCCACACATTGCAATTGGTATGAGAATTAAAGGAACCCTTCCTATTGTTATTTCTTTGCTTCTTGCCCATGTCTTTTGTGATCATCCCAAGTTACCAGTGGCTCAGTTGCCATCAGATGATCTTAACCCTTTTTGTTACAGCCTGTTTACACTAACATTTATTGTTTTTTATTAGAAAAGTAAGCCCTGGCTGGTGGGTGTAGTTCAGTGAATTGAGCGTGGGCTGTGAACCAATGGGCCATCAGTTCGATTCCCAGTTAGGGCACATGCCTGGGTTGCAGGCCAGGTACCCAGTGGGTGCCACCTAAGAGGCAACCACACACTGATGTTTCTCTCCCTCTCTCTCTCTCCCCCTTCCCCTCTGTCTATAAATAAATAAATAAATAAATAAATAATCTTAGAAAAAAAGGAAGCTTCCTTTAAAAAAAAGAAAGAAAAGTAATGCAATCTTATTGAAGAAATATTGTAAGACACAGATCAGCCAAAAGAGTAAAATTAAATACCCATGATCCTACTGTCTAGGGGTATCCACTGGTAACAACTTCTAGATATTTATTCAGCTCTCTTCTTCTTATAAATATATACACATTTATTTACTACAAAGAGACCATTCAGCACACATTGTTTTTTAATCTAAGTTAATAGTCTACCACAACCTTCTTCCTGTGCCAATAAATATTCACCCACAGCATGATTTTTAATGGCTAAAAATTCCGTATTTGCTTGTGTAATATTAAAACACATTCCTGAACAATTGGCACAGACTTTGTAGGTTCAGGAAATTCACTGGTGCCTTCATTTTATCTCTTCTGTGTTGCACTTTAATGCAATTTTTAAAAAGGGATTTGATCAGCCCTTCCTAATCCCTCCCCAGCTGCATTTTGAGTCTTAGATGTAGCCACAGCTGATCAAGGTTATGTGTGTCGCTAACATATTTGCCTGATATATATATAAGAACTATATATATATATATATATATATATATATATATAGTTCTTAGCCGAATCCTGAAAAGCGACTCTAATTTCTCGCCACACCTGTCAGCCGCTCACGTGTGTTCATTTATGCACTGATGGCCGCCTCCCCGGGCACTGCGGACTATAAATGGCGGTCAGCTGCTGAAGCGCAACGTTTAATATAGAAAACGGGGAAGCACCTCTTCCCCAGGAAACCTCTTCCAGGAAAGGAATGTGGCCTCCGAACTGAAATCTGCAGAGAACACCCCTCTCTCCCACAGTCGACGCTATCCAAGTGTTTCCCCGTGCCTCCGAACCTTGATTGGTAATTGCGTTCCTCTAGCGAAGCACCCCGGAATCCACAGGCGCGGAGGACCGCATCCTGCCGCAGGAACACTGTGTCCCAGGCGGGAAAGAACGTGTGGGTGGAAGGGACACCTCTCTCCCTGAGCCTCTTTCAGTGACCCCGGGGAGGCTCCCCCGATCCTCCTCTCACTGCCTCAGTAGCACCCAAAGGAGAGCAGCGTTACCTGTGAGTTCAGCCGAACTACACCTGAGTTCTCGCTCTGTCCATGGGGAGGAGCACGGGCTCCTCTGGTGAACTAACAAACGCCCTTGAATCTGAGGACCGGCGGCGTCACCAACTCAAAGTTCCTGGAGGCTACAGGGTTTATTTCAAAGTAGGAATTAAAATTACGAATATAATCAGGGATACTGTGAAATTAAATTGAAAGATGGAAGTGTACATTTTTATTTTTTAAATATATAGGCAATTGATTCACTGAGAGATATCGCTGTTTTGAAGCCAGAAGCATTTCTTTCTTTTTTTTTTAAAGATTTTATTTATTTATTTTTAGAAAGGGAAGGGAGGGAAAAAGAGAGAGAGAGAAACATCAATGTGTGGTTGCTGGGGGCGGTGGCCTGCAATCCAGGCATGTGCCCTGACTAGGAATCGAACCTACGATGCTTTGGTTCACAGCCCACGCTCAATCCACTGAGCTACGCCAGCCAGGGCGCCAGAAGCATTTCTAATCAAGTATAAGAATAAGCACAAACTGATCAATGATTAAGGATCACACGCTTTGAGAACGAGAGCTAGCAAAATTTTTAAAACCTATTTTGGTTTAGTGATCACATATAAGTTTCCCCTTTCAATTTGTCAAATCGGTCAGGCCATTTCTAAGGATATTTCTATGGACTTAGAAAATAGATCTTGTGTTTTGCCCAAAGAGGGCTTTTGTTAACCATCAATAAACTACACACCATAAAATAAGAATAGAATCCTAAAAAAAAAAAATAGTTCTTGGAAATGGAAACATGATATCTGAACTAAAGCATTCAACTGAAGGTATGGATGATAAGGATGAATAAATCTCACACAAAAAATCTGTGTTGCTTTCCTATTATTGTAACGAATTACCACACATTTAGTGGCTTAAAACAACACAAATTTATTGTCGCACAGTTCTGGAGGTCAGGAGTCCAATATGGGTCTTCCTGACAAAAGATCCGAAAGCTTTCCATCGGAAAAAAGCAGCCACTCGTCTTTGAGGGACGGACAGTCACACAGCCCTCAGTTCCTCACCAGCAAGCCCAGAGAGCAAGGGACAGTTCTACCTCTTCAAGGTCCGTGGAGGACACTAACTTCACCCCGGAATTCTGCACCCAAACTGTCCATCAAGGGCAATGGCAAGATGGGAAACATTTTCTCAATGTTAACCTTCATTTTTTCTTAAAGGAAGTGAATTTCAGCTGCACTTCAACAGAATGAGGACGTAAGCCAGGAAAGAGGTTGAT